TATATATATATATAAAATTTAAATTTACCAATTTCTCATTTTTTTCTAATTCAGGCTTCCTAATTTCTGAAAAATCTATTATAATCTCTCCGAGACAACTTATTACACATAAATAACAGATAAAAATAGGTGAAAATTCCTGGGGAAATGCTCGGGGGAACCGTTCGTTGTCAGGAGGGAAAGGTGTAGGTAACTTTGCAAAGTCTAACCTTCGGGTAGAGGATGCAAAGTCACGGCCGTCGACAGTCGTCCGCTTCCCATGGAGACGAGATGTGGCGCTTCCGTTTGCACGCGCAAAGCCCGGCCCGCCTCGTGCACTTCGAGACCGGCGGCCGCTACGCCCGCCATGCCTGCAAAACAAAAGCATTCGTAATAAATAAATGCGCGCTCTCTGAATTAGCGGCCGGAACGGAGAAATCGGCGGGAAACGTAACAATCCCGGTATCCGATCGATTCCCGCGAAACTGTAGCGAACGCGCATCTCCCATCTCGCGTTTCTCGTTACGGCGCTGTAAAAATATATGACCGACACGCAGCTGTCGAGAAAACGTCCCTTCCGAGGAGGATAACCGATTAGAATTACATCGCTGGATATCGAACGTACGCCATTAAAGACAGGAGAAAAGAGAAAAGCTTGCCGGGCGTTATTATTACGAGTAGCTTACGAGCGACCTCGTCGAAGATTGTGGCTATCGTTTCACGTGAGATCGATCCAAATGAGTTCTTCTACCGGCGCGTAGCTTCACGTTGGCGGATAAGAATGAAGAGGGGGTTGCTCAAAAAGAAAGCGGGAACGAAAAACCGGTCTTCCCAAGCCGAGCAGGGATTTTTCTATCTTTTTTCTTGTTTCTCCCCGTCGTAATCTTGGTCTACGCCGGTGGGTTCTTGACCTTCTCGCGATATACCACTTCGCCGCGAGACTTACGGTAATCCCGCGTGGTCTACTTGTTTTCATCCCTTTGCTTTCCTTTTATCGATCCATCTTATCGGCATTGGGATGTGCTCTTTATTCTTGCAATATTAACAAATCGTAATGGAAAAGAAATTGGAAAGTTTCGTTCGCGGCTGTCGCCACGGTTGACGCCGTACTTGCGTGCAGTTTATAGGGTTGTTCATCTCATGCGAATGATCTTAACGAGTTGAAACAACTTTAATTAAGCGCATTACGCTAGGCCGTCCCGTTGAACTTTGCTAACACGTTTGGCCACGAGGAAGTAATGTATTCCACTTGCAATTTCTACACCAACCGGCGCATAACGCAGCGCGTATGGAACGAATAGAGAAATGCCAACGCGGAAAGGGCCGGAATAGTGATAATTGAACAATTTACCACGGCGAAATTACGCTTCGAGTTAAAAGAGATCCGTGGGGTCTAATTCTCGCCCGAATTATTTCAAGTCTATTTTAGTCCTGATTTTCGCGGGGAGGAACTATCTGATCTATACGGCTCAAAAATGACTCATTCGAATTTGTTTCTAAAAAATGAAAAGGAATATTATCGAGCTGTAGGAAAAATGACGCCTCAACCGTTGCACTGAAATGAAAAAAAAAAGAAACGATAAATATTCTTCACTTGTATTAAATTTGTGAGGTATTGAACCTTTAAAGATGAAAAAATAGAGCAGACTCGCGAAATAGCGGTTTGAAGTGAAGAGATCGTATTTTCGCTTTTATTTTAACTTTGCTGGCCTATAAAGAATGATAATTTTGACATTTTTGGACAACTCTTAAATTCAGTTAGTCCACGAAAGGATCCCCTTAAATAAACCGTCAAATGAGTACTTTATTGAACTCGGAAAGCTAAACGGAAAAAAAGAACGACTGGAAGATTCGTTGAACAATACCCTCCTATTGTCCGTGGGGAGCGTGCGATACCGTAAAGGGACGGTCACCTTCATCCGTGAAATTTTAATGGTTTTCCCCTGCGGTCAAACGATTAAACGGCCAGCTCGTGGCGCTACACGGTGCACGCACAATCTGCTTAAATTACACCTCCTCGGATTTCATCGGCCGGTAATTTAAAGCCGACGATTAAGATGCTGGGTTTCGTTGAATCGCTCGGCCGAAGCCTGAGACCTCTGAAGAGAAGAAGAGGAAGAAGCGGAAACCTTATCGTCGGTGCTCCGCGTATGCCGAGCGCGTATAATATATATATATATATATATGCGACACATATATCGTTCGTCGCGAACATACGTAAGCGGAATCTGGTTAGGTCAACGTTGCAAAATCTGGTGGGTCATCGGCTTATTGCGCAGTTCGATATCGTCGCGTGAGTTTGAGACGCGCGAGCGAACGCTCCTGGGAATCGCAGTCGGATCGATACTCGCAGTCTCTCTTGTGCCCGGCATACCAGACTGGGGCGTTTGATAAGATAGCCGATAATGCACACACACATACACACACAGGCACTTATCATAGCGCGGCGTTAAATCGATGAGACACTTCATGTCCCTCTTGTGCTCACGCATAATCGTATCTCGACTATTCGTTACGAGCGACTTGAATAACGCGCTAACGATTACGTAACAGACGCTTCGGATAAAGAACGCTGCCGCGATTGTATCGTAATTCAATCGAGCGCTCCACTTAAGTGACGGAGATTTATATTTCACACATTAATGTGGAAATTGTGTGACGTCGGCGCTCAATTGAAATCGAACTAGAAGCGGCCGAGGCACCGAAAGCGCAGGTGTGTCGTCCTTGCGAACTCGCTCTCGCGTGACTCCGCTCGATACCGAACGGCAGACACCTGCCCCGTGTACAGACGATCCAATGGCATCTCGCTGAATTAATGAAAATTTATCAAGAAAAAAAGTCGCACGTTCGGCACGGATAAACCCATTTAGTTGACTCCAACGAAATTTTCGTTTGGATACAGGCAGACAAATGTTTCGGCTGTGAGAACCAAAGTTTGGTATTCAGAAATAAAAATCATTTGCCTCGGAGCACCGAATCTTTAGTATCCTCACAATCAAAACATTTGCCCATATCCAAACGAGAGTTTTGTCTGACGAAACGAGTTTCTCGGTGTAGATCGAATTGGAGCGTCAACTGAACGCGAACCTAAATTCCGCTATCCGCGGGCGATTATTTAGAACGATCGCGAGATAAGAGGGAGGAACGATCCTCCCAAGATCGATACTCTTGGCGCGTATTTTCAAATACGCGCCAAGAGTATCGAGTGATTTCACAAACGAGGGAGCAAAATTGGCCTCACGGATTCGAGACTACGTACAGTCGCCAGCTTTTGACAACGTATCATCGTGTAAATACAGTTGGTAGCGGCGATTGGCCTTGGGCATGTTTCGTCTGTTTCTCGATGAAATTCCTCGGCCGTTTTCCGGCCGATCTTTCCACTTGGGCGAAAATATTTTTTTCACGCTCCGCGAAATACGCGCGAGAGATCTCGCGAGAAGGTGCAAGGACGCAAGGCGGAGGAGGCGGCGACGGCGGCGGCGGAGGAGGAACGCAAATGTTTGCCCGCGTGCGAGACGATAACCACGCTGTGATAGCGCGGTTTTAAGTGAAAACACGTGGTCTCGCGCCATTAAATTACGACGGCTTAACCGCGCCTATCTAACGTACAGTTAGGGAGAGAGATCGGTCGAGATTAGCTTTGTCGAGGTAGCACGGGGAATCTTTACGAGACGCAACAGGGGATGATGTAAGTCGATCGGACGCCGCCACCGGCACACTTTTTCGACGGCGCTTTCCTTAATGGGTCAACGGCTCGTTCTTTATTAGCGGCAATTAACGCGCCAGTATAAACGTTTACCGATGACGTCAGTCGCCGCACGCGGAACGATTTACAACGACGCCTGTACGCGTCGCCTACGAGAGATACGAGCGTTATCTTGAGCGTTCGCGAGAGCAGCGGGATAGACTCTCGCTCGAGATACCTTTCATGTTTTCGACGTATTTCTAACATTTCCCCTGTACCAAAAGAGACGTTAATCCTCCAAAGTGGTAAAGTGGGGGTCAGGTTGACCTCACACGGAAAAAAGAAATCTCGTTGTATCAAGCAGAAAAGGAAGAACCGAATTTATCTTGCTTGAGGAAGGAAACCAAATGTCTGGTTGTAAGAGCCACATTTAGGTCACGTTTTCTGTGCACTTTCCTGGATACGTTGAATATCCACTTTGCCATTGGAGAGTGCTCATCTTTCTGCATCTTTTCCGCGACGCTAATTGGCTCTCTCGACGTGAGTCGTCGCTTGCATCTCACTACCGCGCGCTGTCGTCGCGGGGGTTGATAGGTCAAATGCCAGGAGGCAATCGTACTGTGAAAGATGTACGATATCATTTTCGCAATAGTAACGAGAAACGTTAGAGTAATGAGTAAACAACTGCAGCGGTAGTCTCGAGCGCGTCTCGCCCGCTGAAGGGCACGTGATTATAGGAACGATACACACGTAGGTACACAACGATAAAGCGATCACAACAGTCCTTGACGCGGGTGTGATCGGATCGAAAGGCGTTGCGCGTGATTCTCAATTTTTCGAAGCGATCAACTGGAGCGTTATATTACTTCGCGTGCTTTGCGTGCGCGATCATCGTTCAACAACATGTTGTGTCCACTGAACAAATCACGCGTTGGCGTAACAATTGCGTTAATATAGTTGCTGACCAAATTGTTGAATCAATGAACAATTCATCACAGCAACCGTATGATTTGTTCAATGTATTAAACGTAATGTTTTTCAAGTTTTGTTCGTTTAAACAAAATTTCGTTGATTTTACTGCTTTTTTTTTCTTTTTTTTTTTTTTACTATATCGTCTCGATTAGAAGCAACGTCTTCAAATCTTAAGGGTGATTACCATATTTTATATTTGTTAATTTGAAAAAGACTCTTCGGTCTCTTCGAGTCCCCGTATTTTTTACACGGTGACATTTGTTGTCATGATTAATGAAGAAACTTTCTGTTTTAGATTTGATAGACCTTACAATAACACGAGTTACGGTTTTCGGGGATACAGTTCCGTTGGAAGCTGATGCCGCACCAGAGGATCCGGTTCGGGCCGAACAGGGTTCAGCTCGAAGGTAAATTCATAAATTCCCTATACGTTTAACCCTTTGCAGTCGAAAACCAAGATAGAACGATCTAAGTGATTGGCGTTACGGCTAAGAACTAAAGCGGATAGCACATAGAGAAATATAAGCAACAAAACTGAAACAGTAAGCGAAGTAGCCAATCACGTTCGGGAATGATCGAATATGTAAAACTATCATGTTGAAATTCTCGACAGTGATTGATTGATTTGCCTGCTGCTTTCGTATTGCTACTTACGTTCTACTGTGTGTCATGGCTCTAATACACTCACGTTCACGCGCTCGCTTCTTTATTAACGCGAGAATTCTAACCAGGCAGGGACGATCTTTCTGTTTCAGAACAGCGGCAGAACGTGGCTGACCTTGAGTTCAAGCTGATTCGGTGAGTCATGCAAAGAAAAAGGAACGAAAGTAACGGTGGTGGGGTTTCCGAAAATTCATTGATGTCAATGCGATTTGCGTTGCATGGTAGATATATGTGCACGTTAATTCTTTCAACGTACGTAAGCTGGGGCCGTTGAGCGAGTCGCCGTGTTGTGAATACAGTATTGCGTTTCTGCTGTCATGCACAAGCAAAACAGTTTAGAGGGAAGTAACGGAAGACTCGAAGCATTTCGCTATGTTGATAAAATGTCGTGTTTTCCAAACGTGAAATAACATAACGATACGGAAAAAAGAGCTTTAGAATAGCTAGAGAATTTGGTTGTAACGTGTGAACACCTAAAATTTTGGTAGCGTAAGCAATTTTAATTGCTACAGCAGCGAACTCTTTCGCCACAGCAGTAAACGTACTATTGTAAATGTCATTTGTGATGATACGTTTGCCTCGGCAGCGAAAGGGTTTGTTACTGCAGCAATTACGCTTAAGTTGCTAAAGTTTTAGGCGTCCATGTGTTATAATTAATTTAGCTACTGCAGCTAATCTTTTTTTGCATGGAATAGCCCATTGATTTGTACAACTGTTTCGTTACGTTGATTTGTACAGCTATTTCGCTCGATGGCTAATTTTCATTTTCACGATTGTCCGAATACCGTCGAATGCGATTCGACGTCTGATACACCTGGACGTCGAGTGAGACCGACATCCAAACTTCGCAAAACACATTTGCGAAACGGTGGTACATAAGAATTGTGCCGTCACATACGCAACTCGCGGTAATTTTCCTCTCGCTTAGAGTTCGCCATTCCTCTTCTTCGGTTCTCTAAGTTCTTTACACGCGCATTCGCGTCGCGAACGTTTTCTTTCGCAAACAGAAAATATTTTATTGAGTCATATTCGCCACAAGTATCGGGAAAGCTCGTGAAATATGTTAAATTTGACACAAAATTTTTTACCGTATAGACCTTACTTATTGTCGCGTTTATAAGTTCCCTAAATTCTTCAGACGCGTATTTACGTTGTAATTTCGTTTCACAAACATAAATAGAAATACTTTGCTCAATCGTTTATGCATCGATCGATTTCACAATGATCGTAATCTGTTAATTTCGATTTTCGCGAGTGCATTCGCGTGTCGGCGTGCAGCCTATTTTTGTGAACGCCAAATTGGTGATTACAACCCATCGCGAGAGCATTCCAGAAACGTCGAAATTTATCGTACCGCGATCGATAAACAATAACTCCGATCGTTTTGTCGTGATGTTCGTTAAACGAGCTCGTAAATTTCGTTTCAAAACCAATCAGCTGGACGTCCGTTAAACGCCGCTCGAACATAAATATTCATCGCGAGTGATATGAAGTGTTTGGGTGATCGACGTGGGACGATGCGGACGAAACGATGGTTGGCCACAACGGGATCCCGGATGCGGAGTTTCGAGGATGGACCTGCTCAGACCTTGTTGGACATCGTTGGGTCATCGTTGGAAACCACGGGACAACGCGGAACTTCGAAATGGTGAGTGTTCGATTTTAACACTCTCAGAATATTTAGTTCAATACAGTTTGAACACTTTTCTTATACAATTTGGAGCCGATAGTTTAATGAGACAACTGACTGAGAATCAATCAAAAGCTCTCACATTGGATCATTGAATGCAAGCAATTTTGAAACTAAATGTACAAACTATTATCAGGGTATCGATCACGTAACTTTTTTCCTAGGATGCAAACGTGAAAAGTGAAAATTCCAAATGTTTTCCAATTAGAGAATTTACACTTTTCACGAATTCACATTAAAGGAGAAGATTCACGATCAACCCCTATAAAGGGTCGTGAATTTTCTCCTCTAGCATGAATCCGCGAGAAAATGTGAATCTTCTAATTTGGAAACACTTGGAATTTTCACGTTTTCGCCCTAGGGAAAAATCGTACGACAAATACCCGGTAGTGTGTGTAGATCGTAGCTGCTAATCGCATTGACTTTCGCGAGAAGAATAACGAAGACATCGCTCATTGTGTGCTCGATCCAATTTAATATAAGTATCAATTTGTGCTACCAAAGTATCGAATAAGTATATAATCATAAGAGACATCGATCACAATTTGCATAATTATAAGGATCGTAACCTGCATAATTACGAGAATCACATTACCGTAGTAGTAATGCGCAATTATATAGTACAAAGACAAAGCTCGGTAGGGAATACGTGTTTATTTACTGAGACCGTTTGAGCAGGAAGGAGCGCGTTCGTGCTAGGTACCGGCCGTAAGCACTCCGCGTCCGGTCCTATCCGTTCCATTCCGTTCTGCCGCATATAGAACATCCGTTGCGGCGACGTATGCACCGACTCGTGCTTCATGCGAAACGTTTCCGACGCTCTCATGCGATTTTTTCATGGTACAGAGGATTCGATTCGACGAACAATTGGTCGCCACGCGAACAATTCACGGCGACGACGGTGTACTTTCGCACAGGTATAACGCGATCATTCACCGCGAATATCGAGCGTATTGTACTCGCGAGAGACTCGGACGAAAATATTCTGCAGTGTCGCTACAGCTAAACCGTCTCGAAAGAGTCGTAATTGCTTTCGCCGTAAACGGCGACCCTCCCGTTAAGGATCGAACCGGGGCTCGCCCCGTTGACGAAGACGGCTGGACCGTTGGCTATCGGCCGCGTTATGTATCGATCTAGATGGACGGCACGCGTGATCGTCTAATAAATCTGTGAGGCAATCGAGTCCGATGAGAGTTGACGCGGAGAATTTGACTTAGCATCCGCGACCCCCCACGACCCGTCCATCAACGATTCCGCGGAGAGCGATTGAGAGCGAAGCGAGGGTGGGACGAGCGACAGTTAGAGATACGTTAGGGGGCCGAGAGTCGAGAGGAAGAAACGTGCAATATCAAAGGTGTCGCGTGACGATCGTGCGAGGTTCGTGCGAGAACGAATCAGCCGGGACACGTTCGTCTGGACGCGGCGACATCTGCCCGGCAACCGCATCCTCCTCTCCGTCTGCTTCTTCATCTTCATTTTTTACCGCTTCTCTCTCGCAAGCGGACCCTTCGGTTAGCTTCGCGTCGAGTGCATTAACGGCGATGTACGGTTTATAAGCGTAGTTTATCGCGCAGGATAGCTTCGTGAGACAGAACAGCCGAGATCGTATGAAACCGTCGCGGCTGATTCCGCGACGAATAACGTAACCGGTAAGGCTAGAAATTATATTCCAAGTTTCTTCGGCTCTGTGAAGCTTCAACTTTCTGAACCTTCGACACGTTATATGCGAATGACGACATTTTGTAGCGTAAGCATTCGAACATTCAGATAGTGGAATATTCGAATGTTTAAATATTCGAGACTTCAAGAACGGGAAAGTACGTGTGTTCGTTTTGTAAGCATAGTGAATAATATTTACTGTCGTAAAGAATGTTTTTTCTTAAAAAAAAAAAAAGAAAAAATTTAATCGTCCTAAAGAAAATTTTTCCTCACATTGCGTTATGCTATTACGTATCATAGCAAAATTTGCGTTTATTTTGAAATGAAGTTAATGACATTTGTTGTTTACTATTTGTGCTTACAACTTTCACTTTGCTTTAAACTGGACAAACACAAGTCTCAGAATTGAACTAGATATTTATTCCAAAAATACGTATGTGTAAAAAACGTCTCAAAGTCATGACGTCATTCTACAGACGTCTCAATGTTATCTGGGTTAAACTAATACTCTCTAATTGCACAGCAATTTCCGTTGCACTCTCCAGAATTAGTTCTATTAATAGCTCCGATATTACGAATTTTCGAAGCTTCGAAAATAATTCAACTTCGAATCTCCGAATTTCCTCATCAAATGTCGAGTTATAACGGAAGTTCTGAAGCTTCGAGTAATAGTATCCCTCGTAACCAGCATTTGTTCTACGCGTTACGAGAAATGTTTCTTTTGCATTCGACTCTGCCGAGTCGAGTTCGCTGTTCTTTCCCGAGAAGTTTTCGATCGCTCCATTTTAATCCCCTCTCTCTCTCTCTCCTCTTGTGAAAAAATGTCTATTCCGTCTTTGCGGACACGAAGATCGCGCGTAGGTTCTTTTTCACTTTCCAACACCCAAACGAGTGCCCACTCATTTTCCAACGATCTCTCACGTGGGCAGATCCCACGTAAGATCCGGTCTTGTGTCGCAGAGTGCGCGCGCGTTACAGTCTATGTCGAGATGTTAATTGCGAGTTGATTACGGCCGCGTCGCGCCTCTCTCGAAGATTTCAATGGCACGCGCGAATCGAATCGGTTATCGCGATATTGGATACGACTATATCGCCGAGGGAAGTACAGTCGCCGTGCGCGCGTGTATGACGTTGCTCACCGCGGTCGGAGCGAAAGTCGGCGTGCGGGAACGCAAATAGTAAACGAGAGCTGGATGCATTAATTCATATGTTCAGGAGGTTCTTTATGCTCAAGGTCCATCTGACGGCGTTACACGATCCTTTTGAGCAACCGTGAGACATGCCTAACGAAGTATAACAGGTTTTCCAAGCCGCTCTACTACTAGCAACTACGTCTCGATCGATCCGTTTGCATTTCGCGTTTACAGTCGCGCGTCTTCAGTCGTTGCATTCAGTCCCGGCGAGAGGAGATGCGTGCGTACATCGCGAAAACGACGCGCGTAGCCGCGGCGCCGACAACGAAGGGCGAAGTCGTCGTCGACGTGACGTAACGGGCCCGCATAAAGGCAATAGAAATAAATGACGTTAAATTGCCGGGTGGCTCGTTTTTAGCCCGTTCCATCGTCAGCATCGAAGAATCGGCCGAATAATTCTGAGCCGCGGGACCAAGACGACGCGGTCCACGCGTTTACACGAGTGGGCCGGTCTTATTAAGGCACGTGGAAAAACGTAAGACTTAAAGCAGTAAGGAAATTGACCGACCAATCAGTATGTTCCTTTAGGTTCACCAAAAGATGATAGAAGTGACGATAAGTTTGACCTTACACTGAAAGGAAGAAATCGAAATTTAGCGAAGTAAATGTTTCTTGTTGGAAATTGGAATTGGTCGGAAAACAATTCGACTGTGATGACGAAATATATATTTTTGTGAAATGTACTCAAGTTTTCTTATCAATTGGCTTATTTGCTAAGAATAACATTTCATTTCGCCGTATTTAAATGAACCTTATATTCCACAAATAAATTTTCAAGTCTTTTTTTCTCTGAGTGTGTAAGCAGGTAAGAAAAAGTTAAAATCTTGCTTACTTCTGTTTGAGGCCAAACTTCTATCGTCACTCCTATCGTGTTTTGGAATACGTTTTGGAAATCTAAAGAAATATACCGATTGGTTGGCCAACTACCTTACTATTTAAGTCTTACCGCTTACGTTATTCCATGCGCCACGGCTTTTAGAGAATTATTAGAGACGCATGCGGTCGAATAGCAGTCCCACAGCGCGGATTTATTTTTAATTTGTTTCATATATTGCGCACTTGGCGCGGATGTATCTATCTCATATCGTAATTTCTCGAAGCTGCCCGATGATGATCGCTCGCAGGAAAACCTGCGAAAACGGAATCCATCGCGGACCCTCGTGCGACCGTGCGCTTCGCGATCCATTGTCGAAGACATTGTACGATGCTGGGGACGAGCATGCGGATGTAGGTAGTCCGTAGGCGCATAGGCAGCTGCTCCACAACGGATGGTCCGTGGGGTGTAACAATGGACGAGGACGGCTCGTCAAATCGATCAGGGTTGCGGCCGAGACCAGTATAGATATAAGTTCGCGGGGATTCTCTGCTCCTAACAGCTAGCAAACTGACGTTCCGGACGCGGAAGCGTGAAAATAAAATCTTTAAACATATTCTGTCAAGTTGTGACTGAAACAAAAAAAAAATGTTCTTCGCCCCCCCCCCCCCCCCNATTCAATTCTCAGACTCGTATTAAACTTGTCTCAAATGAGATACTCAGATTTGAATTCAGAATTAAATATGAATTTGTCAATAGTGTTCACACAAATATAAGGTGAAAAATAAGTTAGAATTTAACTGAAAATTTCAGATCCAACTCGGAATTAAAATCTGAGTGTCTCACAGGAGACAAGTTTCAAATAGCAACTATTAATAATGAGTCTTAATCTTCATCGACAATTTCGCAAGTTTCGCGAGTTTTCAATTTTCCATTTATTCGTTTCTACTGTTAGCACATTAGCACGGACGAAACTTTTTTACCTTCGAACTTCTGTACTGGTCGAAGGAGAAAAGACTGCTCTGAATTCGGCGATACACCTCGGGCGTTGGTTAACTCTACATAATCGAAACGAATACAGGATTATCGTCCGTATTCCACCGTGTTCTCCATATCTCTCGTATCCTGCATATCGGCAAGGTCACGACCTCCACCGAGAATCGTGACTGGATTGTACAGAGCTGTTCGGGTCGTTGCCATCATCACGCCGTCACGCCGCGCTTGCCACCCCCTATCTACCGTACCGGCCCGTTTATTTTTCATTTATTTTACGGCTGAAAACGTGCATCTTTCTCGAAAAGGACACAATCGTTCGCATCCCGATCAATTTAGGACCGTCGAATAGAAACGGATCGATCGTCGATTTACCTAACGTAAAATTTAATTTCGAGTAAAATCAATTGTACCGCTGATAAAAAAAAAATCAGAGCGGTCGACGCCGATAATTTTGTAATACTCGTTTTAGAGCCGAGGCAAGCCGGCTCTTTGAATTTTCCACGCTCTGCTTGCGGAGCGCACGGGATTACGCGCGTCTATATTTCACGTTATGTTCGGCTCGGCGTGTCGACGTCGACGAGAATGAGATCGGACACCGAAGATCCTGTGGCTTTGTCATCTTAGCTTTACGGATGGTATCCGGCGAGAGGGAAATATTCGAATTAAAGGTAACCGATGTAGTCCGGCAAGTTGAATTCCTGAGCCACGAGCGCGAATCGAGATCGAAAAATACTCGGAAGAAAGTACATTCAGCGACAGCGGTGGACGCATGAGTAGTCCGTCCTTGGCCTATCCAACAACCAGAAACTTTTTATTCAACACACGATGTCGCGCGCGCGCCGCAAGCGGAGCGTACATCGCGTCGAGTCGGGGAACTTTCAGTTTCCGTACTTGCACGGAGAGTCGCCCGTTCGAGTGCAGAAACCGCGTGCTTTATTCATCTTTACCAGCGAATTACGGCTCGTTCGCACGGTAAAATACAGAATCGCGTTTTATCGCCCGGAAACTCCGTCCGGGTGTGTTCGATTTTTCGCCAAGTCGAGCGAACCCCACGCTCGTGCTTTTATCACTCGAATCCGGAGCAAGCTCGGAATTCTGTGTTTAAATTCCGCGTGAAAGAATCACCTCGAATCTCTAACTCCCCCGCATACTTTGATACGCGTCGTAACGCAGATCGACCTGCTCTCGCCGCTTTTCGGAACGCCCGATACAATCGTGTTTCCCAGATGCGCTCGGCTTCCTCACTACGATTTATGAATTCCTGCGATCCCGCCGCACCACGGCGAGTGTGGGAAGGAATTTATCGAGGGACTCACCGACGCGACCTGGAAGGATCCAATCTCGCTAAATCGTCAGGAACCCCTCCAGGTGGCACTCCGGATTTTTTTTTTTTTCAACGCCGCGTCCAGGCACTCGCGCGTGATAATACGAGGGACCGGCGTTCGCGAACACTCATTTTTTCCGTCCGTAAGTTTCCGACGTGCACTCGCGAGATCTCGTCTTGCTCTCGTGCTGGCTTCCCCGCCTTCGGAAACCGACGTCAATTCGACGGACACGGCGCGTCGCGTCGCGTCACGTGCCGACTACGCTATACTGTCGTGGCAACGAGTGCATCGCCACTTTGTACCATAGCAACGTCACTGTGTGAAGACTGGATCCGTTTAGCGATTGGTGTAGGTGAACACGGGAGGGGAGAATGAAAGGGACTTCGCTTGGACGCGTCGTTCGGTTTGAAATTTGGCGGGATAAGCGGGATTCGAGTCGTCGCTTGGAAGAGATAACCAAATGTACTGACAGAAAATATATATTTGTATCAACATTAACCCCATTTGCTAAAATTGCTGCTTGCCGCGCTTTCGGCCGTGCCGGGCCACAGAGAAGCCGGTAAATTTGGATAATCGAGTAATTGCGATGGTGTACTCCAAACCGGATAATTAAATTCCTCGGTGTCGATCGAGTCCGTCACATTTTCGAAGTATTCCTTGATGATATCTTCCGTATTTGGCCATCCACCCTTGGGTGACGTGATGTCTTTAGAATTCTTTGTTGCGACTGTAAGACCAAGTGTTGTTTGTTAGAGACTAACACCGTCTCGTATGTGCCAATTCGGATGAAGCCGGATAGAATAATTACCAAGTCGTTCTAGTACCGATATCATGTGTTGCGAGTAATGCGAGAATCGACAACCAAGACCGAAAGCACAGTCTCCAATGGTCATGTAACGTTTACACGGGGTTTTCTGGCATTCCTCCTTCAATATTGTCTCTGGATCTGAAAATATCAATCTCGTTGAACGAAATGACACGTATGAACCGAAACGTAAGTAATAGAACGTAAATCGTAGGTAAAAATAAGAGATTAACTTTTGCTAAACGAGATCCCACACAGCAGAAATGTCTAATAGCAGATACATCATACGGATATTCTTGTTGATGTATCTTCGAGATTTTTACTATGTGAGGTATGGCTCATCAAATCTCAACGGTCTACGTTTTGTTACTATGATTTTTTTCTTTTTTTTTTTTATTTTATCAATTTCTGAGTTCTGTAATGTTACCGTTCTGTACGTTTACATTTTTTTCGATCTAAACCGGCCTGATTTCATATTTTAACCAACTTACAGAAAGAAAAGATGTGAGAAACCGCAAGAAATTGCGGCAGCGTTCCGAAATTCACCTCCAGTATTAAAAATCTATAGTTTATGTTATGTATATTATAGATTTTCAGTACTGATAGTGTGAATCCGAAACGCAGTCTATTCTCGAATAAAACCTCAAAGAGATGGCTTTCGTGAGAGGTTATGTATGTAGCGAATAGTGTATTAAATAAACATGATTGAAAACTTACCTTTGAAAACGCTGTAATGATCCGCTCGATTTTTCATGTGCTGTAGACTAGACAAGTGTTTCTTACGAGCTTCGACGTCGTCCTTGAAGGATCTATCACAATAGTCACAATAGTATCTCTTGCCCATTAGTGTATATGATCAGAAAAATTCAAATACAACTAAAGAGAGAGAAAAATAAGGGGGAATTATATTGACATTAAATAAATAAATAATAAAATGTCGGAATTATCTGTAATTAAGGATGTAAGCGTACATCATACGTGCTTCGCGTCCTCGTCCAACGTTTTCACGTGAAATATATCGTGGCCATCGTGCGTGACTATTAAGTGACATCTGTCAATGAAGACGCTAACTACATAAGACTATAGTGGGAAGTGAGAAGACACAGTTATCTTTCCTCGGTAAATTTCAGGATGCATCGAGTATCCGATAGGACAATTTCTATATTTTGCGAGAATCGCTAAAAATAAGTTTTCTTATTTTTGTTTTATGTAGAAAGACACATAGACTATTTATTGGTAACAAAATCTCACAAATCATAATTTTGTGGATTGGATCTTTCTTGCATAATTATGGTCAACTATATTAAATCCAAAATGGCTGCGACGATCCGCCAGTGCTTTTCATGAAAAATTAAAGTCATAGTCATAGTGGCTCAAGTCAAATGGAAATTTTATTTTTAAGTAGTACGACTCAATAATGCGACGGGTCAGGTGATTTCTTTTCTTTTTCAATTAGTATGATTTAAGCAACGAATCTGAGAAATTTTTCATTCTTCGACATCACGTACAATGAGATGAATAAATTTTTGTCTCTATTTACACAAACAACGGCGAAAAATAAAAGTCCTTTCAACTTGATGATGTGAATTATATCTCTAAAAAATAGAAATACAGACAAGATAGGTATTAGGGCAATACAAATAAGACAGTTAACACTCGTCTCAGTAGTACGTTTTTATTACATTCTTACAATATATTTTACCACAACTTCTTGTGTGTGCATCACTAAACTATTCATACGTGATAAAGTAACGTATCGACAAAAATGTCTATTATTCGTCGCAACGTTTTTTTCTATATTAATACGGCATCAACAAATATTATTCGCCCACAATAGTCGCTCCGACGTGAACTACGTAACGTTACTCGATGATAGATCATTTTCGACGATAGCCAAAGCTTCGTTTTAATTTTCTACAAGCGGTAATCGTAGACAACCTATGAGTAATGTGTAATCGTGTGATTCAAGACACAATATTCGTTTATAGAGATTAAGAATTAAAAACGGGAAAGTAAAGCCCAGAAACTTAATTACAATAAAAGAGAAAACTGGTGGGATTTGCTGCAACCTTTAACTAGAAATCGAAAATTACTGACGGTGAATTAGAAATTCGGGGGAATCATTAGAAATTGAGATTCGGGAACGTGAAATATTAGGAACTGGGAAACGGGATTTCGAAAAGAACAAAGTATCGGAAATTGAGTAATACGTTCAACTATATCTCTTATATATCTTGCCGGCTGTTGTACGATAGCTGCACGTACCATCGCAATCGAAACCAATCGCGCGGATATATTACGTGCAAAATAAAACAGTTGAGAAGCTCGCCCGACGCGTTCGCTCTCGTACAGCAGGTACTACATTAAAGTACGGAATTTCGTCGCGATCAGTATGTGCAGTTTATCGTTCGCAGCCGGTGTAAAACGTGTAACACACACACGGAAAACGTCGCGCAAATTGTTCGACGCGCACGGATGTATTCTCCCGATTCCTATCGGTACAAATTGCGCAAATTGTAGAAGACGAAAGTAATATCCGCTCGGTAGAAAAATTCTGGACGATTCTGGGTGAAAAAGTAAAAATAATAAGTTCGCAGTACCCTGCTTTGTGGACGAGTAAAGCTGGCATTGAATAACGTACAGTTTATAGTTGGAGTGTGATCCAGTTGCAAGATCGATTTGCTGCGCTCCGTAATATCCATTTCGAATCGTTTTTACCGATCGCTCGTTGCTGCGTTCGCACACACAAGAGGTGATCGATACGCGCGCGAGCTTACGCGAACGAATGCTTTAGGCCTGGTAAAATAAATTGCCTTTCGAGGTTATAGGCTAGATTGCCCACTTAACAGAAAGTTAACGAAGGAAGTTGGCAAATTATTGAAACGCAAGGTTGAAGAGAGAGTTAACGGTCGATTTTCCAGAGAATTTCCTTTCTCTATCGCGCGAAATCAGTTGCCGAAGGAAACGGATAAGGATTGAAGCGCGTAATGTCGCACTTTAACTTCAGTGTGTACGTAAAATGTTGAGCCGGTAAGCTCGAAAAGCAATCGCAATTGGAAGGAACGGACTCGTTACTTCGACGGACCTCTAAATCTTCTCTCAAGCTGCCGCGCGAATCCTGCTTTTTACGTACACTTTTAATCGATAGTAGGGAACCTCTATTTAATGGATGATTTAACCGCTCCATTATCGAGCGAACAGGTCGACGAATCGCACATGCTTTTTTTAAGTTTTTTAAGCGCATTATTTTAGGTGCCTTCGGTACATTAACGCGTGAGAAGCATCTGCGGGAATCGTTCGAGCGATATCACTTAATATTGAAGAGAACGTTAGTAGGGAGCTCCATAGATCCGTCGTCTATGCATCTATGGATACAATTGTAGACTTTGCTTCGAAATTCCTAAACTCCGCCGTATCACTTTCCGTTAAATAGAGGTTTTATTATTGTATTAGTAAAACGCAAGTACAATATAATCTTCTTTCCCAACGTTTGGAAAAAATTATTCGAAAGTTTGGAATTGTGTTTCTTAGCCCCTTTTATACTCCACAAGTATACGGGACAGTATCTTTTTTAAACTCACAGTTCCTCTCTAAAGTTAACAGGTTGAATACTGTGACGATCGAGAGTAGTAGTCTCCAACTTATTTTGTTCTTAGGTCATTGTCCTTGTTATTACTTTCTTCCCGAAGACACATTTTTACATTTTTCCGCATTTAAAGCGAAACGGAAAATGAAATGTATATACATCGAACTCTGGGGGGGGAGAAAGAGCGAAGAAGGAAACTATCGTTGCGGGAGAATGTGAAGGTAGAAAGCCGAAAACGCACAGTTGGTCGTAGACGTTCCGCTGCTCTCGTGTGACGCTCGGCAAATCAGGAACGTGAGAGAATCGAAATTGACTTTCGAAAATTTGTAGGAAAGAGTATTCGAAAAAGACAGCCGTATGCAACTCTTTCGTCGTCGTTCGTAAGTTTAAAATCGGAGGCGCGCCACAACCATACCGTTTATTTCGATTACAAATACAGGAACTTGTACGTGTTGTTTATTCGTGCGTTTTATTATTGGTACGCGTTTCTTAATGTATGCTCCGTTTTTTTTTTTTATATCGTGCGTAAAACGTCAAAGTTCTATCCTATCGTTCTCAATTTTCCCGAATTTCGAAGATCAAATTGCGAGGAGATTTCGTATTCTCTTTACTCTCTTTCTTTCTCTGGTCTCGCAAAGCATAACTTGTATCATATATCGAATACTCGCAGAGACCACCTCTCCTCCTCATTTCTACGTCTCATTTTTTTTCTATCATTATGCCTTACGTAACTCATGCCGCGATACCGTCGTTACACGTGCACGAAAGTCTTTTTAAAAAATCCGCTCGTCTGTCTTTATCGTAAACCATGAGAAATGTAGGTAGCTCGGAAATACGCAGCGATGGCTCGATTAAAAATTAATCTATCGATCTAGAAGAATCGGCTCGAGAGGAACAATGCTTCTTTTTCTCCACTTATAACCATATCCTCCCTTTACACACACGATGCAACCTCGATCGTTTCGTGACAACTTTTTTTTTTTTCCTTACGTATATCCGTAAATAATAGAGATATTGAGGTGTGCCCATTGAAAAGTACCTCAGCCTGCATATACCTCGTTCGAGGGATCTTCGTTTCTAGCCAAAGTATGATATAAGTGTTACCGTCGCGTAAGTCTCACTGGTCCCGGGCGAAGGCTGTGTTAATTGTTGCGATGAACGTAAAATAAACGGTATCGTTGTTTACAATTTGCGACTCGACTCGGTGAGCTAACGATCGGGATAATAGTCTCGCAAGGAAACATGATTTTATCTCACAAGGAATGCATCGTACGTTTTACGCACACGACTCGCTAATTCGCGACTGCTGCATCATAATAAGTTACAAGAAAAGAAAAAGGATAGGGCAGGGTTGGTGAGGAGGGGAGAGGGGGAGGGGCGGGGGGCTGGCTTTCAACCTGTTAAGAATGGCACTGGCTTTTTAATAAGTTAGTAATCTATCCCCCGGCATTCCTGCGCTCGCATAAGCGTCTTATTTTTTAGACTCGTCGACAGTACAATGCATGCTGACTTCCTGACGGACTTTGTGACCGCGGAAACTCGCTTGTATCTTAGTCGCCGCCTTGTGCAGGTCCGGATCGGCCAAGTCGATCCCCTCTAACTCGTGCACTGCGTCCTGCATCTGCGGCAGAGATCCAGAAGGGAAGGAACGTAAAAGAAAAAAAAAACACGACACGGACGACGGTCGCGCATCATCCTAAATTTTTCCGATCGCCGCCGTTTGCGCCGCATCGGCTGTGCCGCTCCCTCGTAAATAAAACACAGACCGTATCGACGTTAGATCGAATCCCGTTACGTTACGGCCAACCAGCCCGTACATAATTAATCGACACACAACGAAAGTAACTCAAACTTTGTAGGTCATGCCGGTATGCTGGCCGACGAGACCGAGCTTTGTAGCGCTTCGCTACTCCGATGAGCATCTTCAGCTTGGAAGGCAACTGTCGATTACTCGTCAGAGTATTCGTGGATCAACATAATGTCAAAGGGGTCTAACAATAGCTTTCTCTCAGGAACCTCGAGGAGTGATCGATCTTTCGCTGCAGCGACCTTGCGCGTCGAAACCGCCGCCGTCGTTACCGCTTCGCCGATCGAATCGACATTGGCGCATCGAATCGGGAAGAAATTGAATTTGATCGCTTGTAGCGTATATGCGTGTGATTATCCGTATGTGGATATCCGATGGACAACAGGCGAGTAGCTACCGTAAAGATCGTGTAGGGGTGCTGCTTCCGAAAAGTATAACTTTGCAGCGCGCTCGAACGTTGTTACCCTTAAACTCGTTACTGCGAAGCGCGTGAAGTCGGCTCGTCGTTAACATCGTTTGTCGATTAAATTAACGGCGATTAAATTTCTCGCGACACCGGAAAGGCTCTAATCGGCAATTGGGGTTACTGCCCTACGGCGCCTTACTCCTTCCTATAATTAACGGCAATTAACAATATCAGATACCTTAGGCGGTCTCTGATCGTTTCTAACGGCAAATATTAACGAATCGATACCGCGCGCGTGTCCGACGAAATTCCCTTTGGACGACGCTCGAACGCTTGTTAAACGACCGTTACAACCGCGTCGCCGAGAGGTCGCGAGCGTATCCTCTCGTCTCCTAAGCCCGAATCTGAACAATTACTCGACCGATACGATTCGTGTAATTCTCGGCGTCGCGATCATTTATATCTACGATATTATTCCGTATACGGAGAAAATACTGTAGTAAAAATTATCACAACATTATGTAAGGCCGTACCGGAATTGTGATTGAATTTTACCTATTTTATGTGTGTTGTAATCTTTAGGATATGTGCACGTGATATATTCGCTAAAGATTACAACGCACGTAATCATTTCAGTCATAATTCCAGTATGGTCCGGTGTTAAGAAATTTGGCGGTAATTCTATTACGATATTTTCTCCGTGTACGAAACACGAGAAGGCAGGGGAACGAGTGTGGTGTTCGCTACGGAAGGTCAAAGATGTCAGATAGAGCAGGCTCTTCGTTTATCTCTCCACTCGGCCATCGATCGATAGAGACATCCGTCCCTATATCGAATGATCGAGCGTTTAACTCACCTTCTCCTCTATCTTAGCGGCTGCGCTGCCGACTATGTTCATCGCCGATTTGGCGGCAGCGGACGCGGCCTGCTCCTTTCTCGACATGTGGCCCCGGAAAGTCGCTTGTATCTTGGTCGCCGCGCTCAAGAGATCTACGGGGCAGAATTCGTTTCAATACATCTTACCCGATCTATCTTTCGGTTCGCTTTAAACGAATCCGCTTTGATAGAGCTGCTCACCCTTGTCGTCGGCAGGGAATTCTTTCTGGAGCTCCTCTTTCGTAGTCTCCTCCGGTTCGCTCGGCTCCTCCGCTTTCGACGGCTGCTTCAGACTTTTCCTAGCGCAGTGTCCACGGAAAACCGCTTGTATCTTCGTGGCCGCGGCTTCTTGGTCCTTCTCGTTCTCTGCGCCCTTCTCCTTGTCCGCTTTCGCTGTACCGTCTTCCGCAGCTTTAGAGATATCTGCGGGCAAAAGCGATCGAAATGTGATCTCTCGATTTTAATTCGACCTCACGCGTCTTTCTTAAATAATTATAGTAAAGAGGTAGACGAAAAAAAAAATGGTGGAGCACGAGTATATATCAGAGGAAATGGAACACAATAACGACGAATTACGCCCGACGGGATGTAATAATACCCGCGGTCCGGTCTTGCCGGAGTGATTTTTCGCCGCAAGGGACCCCGAATCGTCCGGAAAATCCGTAACCGAGGGGAGGAAGGGCGCGGCTTGTGATACATCCTGTATATTAGAAATGGCCGCCGTGTTAGCCACAGTTCACCTACATTTATTCCGAACATTTCACCTTCCCCAGACACGTCCAGAGAGCGACAAGTATCGATTAGCGTTTCTATTTTCGCGCTGCACGTTCGAGATTACGCGCCGCCTAATATACATTTTTAATATTTCACGCCCCGCGCGAGAGATGCGCCGATCGATTCTCCCGATCCGTTCCGAATAAATGGGATTTTCGCGAGCAATAATTCATCGGCGTGTCTACATTCCACCGTCGCAATCTAGAGCGGCTGTGCCGCTTTTCGGCCGGTGCGCGCGCGAGTCTCTCTCTCGGGTGAAAATCGCGGAAGATCGTTAAATCGTTCCCACCGCTGTCATTAATCATCGTTCCGGCAACGAGCTCGACCGGGAGGTCAGCTCGAGCAGCATTCGTGATCCTCGATTCTTCGGAAATGGTACATCATTTTTCTCCCTTTTCCGCGACTATTTCTTCTTCATTTTTTCATCCACTCTTCGCGGCCGAGTACATTTTTCATTTGCCACTTTCAACGGTGTATTAATAACCGGACCGAAACGAACGAAACGGGAACGAAGAGCGGTGAGGTGTGCGAGGATCGAGCGTGATATCGAAAAGTGGATTTTCCTATGGAAAAGAACGGCCCGGACTATCGAGCGCTTTCGCGCGACACCGTTTCCCTAGGTTACCACACGGCGGGGCGAGTGTGAATTCAAGAAATACGCCACTTTCGCGATAAGCAACGAGTTCTTACTAAGTTATGCGCTTCTCCGTTGTTTTACCACCGTTGTGCAAAGCCGGAGATCGACCGTGTGCAAGTTCTCCGCGTAATTTTATCGACGTTGTGTTTCGCGACGCTTACGTGCACACGAGTAGAGTCCTCTCTTTCGCAAAGTAGGTGAAAAGCGCGGAAAAAAACCCCACGGCGAAAGCGCGCAGGTATATGTGCGCGTGTACAAGACGCAGATTTCAATCGATCGGAAGGAGAAGCGCTTCCGTCCGGGATAGTGGTCGCGATCTCGTCCTCGCGATTTCGTTCCCGCGGCGTCCTCTGAAATACCTGCTCTCTGAAATATTTCGAGCCTCCGGCATCACGCGACGATATTTCGCCATCGATCCGCCCAGACCTTGTTACGCGAGCCGCATTGTTCGATGAAAGCAGATTACCCCCGAGGAAATCAAATGTCCCATTAGAGGTTCCTCGTTACGTCGATTGCAAGACGGAAAGATTGTCGCGGCTAACGAGATCCTCGTCAAAATAGACGCTTCCCGCTGTCGTTACTGACGCGAGCTCTGACGCGCCTTTACCGTGCACAACATTCACGCGTCGATTCTCCTCCCGCCGGGCACGTTAATCGTTTGACAAACCGTGGGAGTAATCACCGAGCGATTAAAGCTTCAGAGGCTCATGCGTTGGTATCTCAAAAGCAAACGTCACTCTGCGCGCTCCAAACATAGAAAGATGTATCCCGGAGGCCGAGTTATCAGTATTAATTGACGCTAAAGTGACATTAATAGACCTCCCCCCCCCCCTTCCCCCGCGAGGTTTCTTGACGAGTGAGAAAAATTCCGCGCTTTATTAATTGCGCTCACGAATTCAGCGCGTCGCCGGGAGAGAGAGAAAAAAACAAACGCGCGATCAATGATCGCGCGATGAAATTCGAGCGTGCTCCGGGGAAGAGGAGATACGAATCTCGAGAATAACTCCTCCCCGGGTGGGTAGGGACCGTTCTTTTGTCACGGAGATTCATCGACCGGTTTATACGCCCTACACACACAGCACTCATCGGTTTTCCACGAAATAGCTGCTCGGGGGTAGCAAACAGCTGATCCGAAATCGCTCTCGGGGCGGCTCGTTCGCTCGCGGACTTCCGAGTGCGCAACGACTTCCGCCGCTTATCGCGCTCTAACGATAACGATCTGCCTTTGCCTCGACCCGGGAGAACGTTCGATACGTGTCCGGATGGACGTGCGGCCGAGGGAAGAAAAGGACGTCGGGTCGCGCCTAAAATACGCGATTATCGCGTTTCGCTTTTCACGGGGCCGGGCGGATTAAGCGAGATCGCGAAATCGGCCTGGCGTGCATCCTGACGATATCACTTCAATTACTACCACCACCGTCGCCGGCGTCGTCGACGCGTTTAACCCCGTTTTTCTCTAACGACCAGCAGCATGCACGCGAGCAATCGGCAACCGTCGGCTTTTATTAGGTCGCATCCGCGCGCGACTCACCTGCACTCGGAGCGTCGCCGCTCGACCTCTCACCTGCACATCCACGCGCGGCTCGGTCTGACGTGCGACTGACTGTTCCCGGGCACCGACGACCCCGTTTATAATCGCGAACGATCACGGCCCTGCCGCGCCGCGCGCTCCCAGCCGCAGTCGCGATTCTCTACCTAAGCGACGAGTCACGCCGCGAGACAGGGCCGTCGCCGGCTTCCTCGCGACCCTCCTTTACTCCCCGGCTCCTTCATCTCGCTTCCTCTTTCTCTATCATCGCGACCGCCTCCCTCTCTCGTGATCCCATCCACGAGTGTCGCCGGGGAAAAAGGAGGGAAAGAGGAAGAGAGAAACGTTTCTCCGTTTCGCGAAAGTCGCGGCCCGTCTGTGAATCACCGGGAAAGCCGGCGGACGGTGAAGCAAAGCGGATTAGAGAAAAGGCTCGCGTTTACATCCCGCGTTGAATCCTCTCGCCTCGATAAACGACGAGATCTGTATATCGCGTCGTATATCGCGTAAGCTACTTATCCGCTAATTATACGCTCGTATATGTTGTGACGCGCACAGCCGCGTGGGAGTAACATCGGCGATAGTAGGATACGGTTAAAGCGCGACGTTTCCAGGTGTATCCAACTCTCAACGGCGAGAAAAAGCTTGTATTCAATTATATCGCCGCGGTCGGCCTCTCCGCTGTCTCAATCCCCGCGGGGGTAGTAGCGCCCGTGGAATAACCGTAAATAATCGTGAAAAATGGTTGTCACTTTGAACGCGGAAGTTGCGGCGATCCGGCAGTTCGATCGGAACTAGGTCGGATCAAATCGAATTAGTTTTTTTTTTTTCAGTTAGCGGGAAGAAGCTTCCGCACGACTCGTCGAAGTTTGCGCGTGAAAGGATCCGACCGGGATCTTCCGATATTTCAAGTATCTCGAGTACTGACCCACTGGAGGAGCCGAGAGAGAGAGAAGGAAAGCCGACATTTGCTCGAGAGTACTTCGCTCGTGATGCATTTCATATTTTATATTTACATATATTCCGCATTTCTATATTTGATATATTTCCATAACTGCTAATGTATTTGATATTTTTCCGTATTTGATATTCGCGACATTCGCTTATTCCGAGGAGAATCGACGCGATACCTTTTTTTTTTTTTCGAATCGATCGCGCGGCGCACCGACTGTATACGTGTGTGTGTGTGTGATTCTCGCGAGCCTCGTCTCGTCATTCGACATTATCGTTCCCGTTCTATCTGTGCATTCTGCGCGGACAACGCGGAATATCTATATATGGCTGTGTCGGTATCGATAAAACTCATTATCTCGCGGCAGGAAGTCATCCAAGTTTCGAATAATTGATTCCGCTTTCGGAACGGCGAGAGACTAGAGTGCGCGGATCTTCGCTACAGCCAGTAAGGTAGGGAGTACCGAAATTCGACCACCTGCCTCGCACGTTTATATCTGCTCCCGATAAGCTCCGGTATCTCCTTAATTATTGACGCATCGTGCAACGCGATACAGGCCGGATACAAGATCCACGTGCGAACAGACGTTGTCACTTTGTTGGACAAGCGGGAGAAGCGCATACACACACACACTTCGGAATATCTTTCCGCGAACACGCGGCAGATCGATATTCGAAGCGTTCTTCGTTCCTTATTCTTCTTCCTGTCGCGGTTTGCTTCTCGCATTTCATCGTATTCCATTATTACTGGCCGTAGGTGCGCGCGCGCGTATATACACGGGAATTTGATCGCCGCTTATTAATATTTCATAGGCACATATTGCACAACCCTTTTACCGTCGATGATGAAACGATACCTGCTTTCGAACATGTCCGTGCGAATTTCCTCGGTGTACAGTTTCGTAAATATAACGACCGTGAACGGTCAGACCTTGACACGCATCACGCGATCAGCACTTCCATTTCGATACACCCCCATCGGATCCTACAAGCGTCTCCCATTTTCCTCTCGGCAAAATAGTCGCATTTATTATCCGGCTATCTGTCTATCTTGGCGTGTCGTAAGTAAGAATCGCATTACATTACGCGCAAATCTCCACGGCTGCCCGTTTCGACAATCTCGAGGCAGACATTTCATTTCTGTAGCCAATGTTAATTTTGCTCTCGCATTTCGTCAGTTATATTTTCTTGTAATTATATGATTAATTTTGCCAGCGTGAACCCGGCAAACACTAACCAACAGTAACATAAAATCAATATTATAATTTTCCACTCAACAATGTGAGTGTAATGTAACGCGCGTGTTACGTAACAGTTACATTGTTGGGTAGGAAATTACAGCGGGAAATTATAATATTCTGTATAAATAAGCGGGAAATTATAATATTCTGTATAATAAATTATAATACGGTGTTCGCCGGGAACATACGTTTGCCTCACGTTTTTCACGGTGTCTCGAATAATTTCAAGCATTAAAACACGGAACGTAGACTTACACACTTATGATTATGAAGAAAAGTTCCCTTGCGCGGGTGCGAGAATAACGTTCTCCTATGAATATCTAATCGAGTTGAAGCGATAATTTAGCAACGATTGAGAAACGATTAGAAAAAAAAAACTTTTTAACCGCCTCTGCCCCCAACTACCGGGTAGACCTTCTAACGTGTTGAACCGATGAGGAGGTCCCGAACTGTAATCGAAACTCTGATTTCCCATGATAAATTGCGGGCTAACGGGAAGAATAAAATTTCAGCCGAGCGCCTTGAAATGCCTCTATTCGTCGGCTGCATGCGCGAGGAATGCGTTCGTCGCGCGGAAAACAGTCGTTCGCCCTGCCGACCCTGCTGATTGCATTGATATTACTCACGAAGCGTGCACGCAATCAACTCGAAAGATCTAATGAAGCGAACAGTGGTGCATTTATCATTCGCGAAACAAAGCGGACTCTGTCATTGTCAAAGCGAGATAAACAACACTGACGAAGTTCTGAGCGGGCGGTCGCAATCTACAAAGATAAAAAAGAAAATTGCGCAACGCCGATGTGTTACGCGAAATAGGACGACGAAATCGAAAAAAAAATCGTATCGGTCTCCCTCGCGCGAAATGGAATATAAAATAGAGAAAAAGTACACGACGACGCGAGGCCCGATAAGACGGAAAACGGGGAAACGCATTTCTTTCTTTTCCTCCACCGTGCCTCTCGTAATCTCGCTCGTAATGCCGTAGACCTCGACGCGATTAAGAAATTAGAAGAAACGATCCCCTCACCCCCGTTCTTGACGGAATCCTCCTTCGCCTCGTCCACCGCCGGCTGGAAGCTGTCCTTGCTGGTGTTGCACCCCATGTCTCTTCTTCAGCTCCTCCTCCTCGTTTCTTCTCCCGAAAAAGCTTCTCTAGTATCAAAATAACTCGTGTCTCTCTTCCTCTCTCTCTTTCTCTTCGAGTTGTCCGTATTAATATAGTTTCCTCGTTAACATCGCGTTACCGGAGCAAAGGTTGGACAGCAGCGAGGGCGATTTCACTTGTCCGTGCAAAGCAGCGGTCTCATAGCCGGAATACGATAATCGGTCCTAATTTTTCGACTGCCCAAGAGTGTGGATTTTTCCTCTCGCCTCCCCTCCTTCATCCCCTTCTCATTCTCCCTTCTTACTTATTCGTTCCTCCGCGCGTTCCACCCTTCGTTTCACCGCCCTCTCTCGCCCTCTCGCCGTCTGAGAGTCCTGTGTAACACGTTAAACGCGACGAGACGGTACACTTTCGAGTCGCCGCTTAATTTTCGGCGACTCCGTCCTCGGCCACGGCGCGCGATAATCTCGCCGGAGCTGTCCGGAGTATATTCCGTGTCGTTAATTAAACGACAGGCTCGATTAATCTGGTTAAAAGTCACCCCCACTCTTTCCGCCTCGATGTGTGCGTGTGTGTGTGCGCGCGTGTCGGCACCTCCTCCCCCACCCCTTGCGCTTCCACCCTGTTATTTGGAGGTTACTGACACGTCGCGTGGCGCCGGCACCCGCCGGCGAGACAATTCTTCACACTCGAAAGGGATTCTCTCTCTCTCTCTCTCTTTCTTGCGCCCTTGCGTCACGCAAGGATCCCCTCGAAAGACCGAGGATACTTTCTCACCGGGCGTCCGCGACTCACCGAAAGTCAAACATCACGAGCTCTCTCACGAGGGTGGTGAGGGGGGAGGGGAGGATGAGAAATCCCGTCGACGTCGCGAGCGGTACTGCCTTACGACCCTGCTCTTGCGGCGAGCAAGCGACTGCTCCGGTCGTTATGTATATCGAGCCGATATAGAACTCTCTCACTACGCGAAACGTTTCTCGCGACGGCACGCACGCACGGGTGAGATCGCGCGAAACGGCAGGACTAAGAGCGCAAGTCTCACTGTTACCAATGTACGGCGGTCGTCCTTCCCTAAGGACACGCGGCAGGTCGTGCGCGCTTCGACGAGCACGCGGGACCGATTCGATCCTACAACTACATCCCGAGCGCGCGCTTCGCGAACGACTAAGTGAAATGGTGCTCTCCGGAGCGGATGGTCTCGCGACCTTAAAAGCGCATCGATCGATTTTACGCGGGCGATATTTCGCTGGCTAGACTATTAGCGGACGACCGTTGCCAGACGACCGGCGCCAGCCTCTCCGTTCCTCTCGTTTTCTGGAACGAATATCGATCTCGCGTTTTTCAGACCCCGCCGCCCGGCTCAGGACCTCTCTCGGACGCGTCATCCTTTTACACTCGACGGTCCCGACGGATTGAAAGGAGCAGCGGCGAAGATTAAAATTAAAAATGTCTCTTTCTTTATTAACGATAAATACAAACGAGATAGTCCTATATTCGCACGCGTACAAACGCGTTCACATGTCCGCCGTGCTCCACTTATAGGCTTCTTCCTGCCGCGCGACCTTCGAATTTTGCGACTCGAACCATTTTTTCTCGTACCCGTTGCTCCTGTCGACGCCGTCCCATCGATGACCGGGTTTGATGCCGAACCGATTCGGCGCGAACGAGCCTTGATACCTCGGCGATTCTGAAATCAGAATTATCCATGCAGGCCTCCGTGAGAATCTCCGGAGCAAAAGTCCTCTGGGAGCGTACAGACTTCAAGATCCACGTACCTGGTTTTCCCTTTCCTCCCTTCATTCGTTTCTCTTTTATATACGCCAACATTGGATCACCTTCTCTCTCCTGTTCTCTCAATTGTTTATCCAGATCCGCATCGTCCGCGTACCTCGCTAAAGGCTTGTTCATCTCGTACAAGTCGTTCTTCAATTTTTCCTCGTGATCTTCCGTCTGTTTCAAACTAAAACATATACGAGAAAGCACGTAAAGTAACTGTCTTAATTATGGATCATTTCAGATTAAAGTAATTTTCATACATTTGTAAAAATTCGACGGTCGAATATTAAAAGGAATTAGGAATACTAATGTCAGCGATAAACATCGTGGGTTTTAAACGGAATGATGTGACTTCAAGCTGATGGATTCTAAATTTAAAAAATAATAGTTAGAAATATTATTATTTAAGTCTGATTATGGGCCAGCAAATTATGTAGCGTCTCTACAACGGGTCATAGCGTGATACCCAATTCTGGGTTAAAAAGTATTAAATATATAATATACTAAATTTTTTAAGAAGTACTGATTATATAATTTTATTAAGTATAATATGCAATAAGTAGGTAAATATTTTGCATATTTTCCCCTCAAATATCTACAATGTTTCTGAACACGTTACTGAAGCAGTATAACTTTAGAACCGGTAAAAAGTTAGAAGAAAACAATGGCTCACCCTTTGCCCCATTTCGCGTACTTCTCATTGATCTCCCGTTGCTGAACTTCTCGTTGCCGTTCTTCCGCCGCTTCCGCCTCCAAATTGCGTTTTGTTCCGCTTTTGTTGCGAACAACCGGTGCTTGTCCGACTCCGCTCATCGATTTACTCATCTGAGAAAATTTCATCCGCATTTACCGCCTTCGTGAGCGAGCAATTTTCCTTCATAAATATAAACGCTACGCTACAAATAACATTACCTTGCTCAAATTTTCCACCTCCCGTCGCTTATGAGCCTCGGCCTCTTCCCGTGACGTTTTCGCGTCTTGCAGTCCCGCGGTCTTCCCGTCCAGCGTCTTCGTCATTCGACCGTCATGATCCTTTGGATATTTCACGCAGTCACGTTCAGAATTCGCTTCATCATCCCAACGCGAGATTTTCCTCTTTTTCCTTGTATCCGCGTGTGAAGATCTGCGATCATCTATGTCGTCGTGTTCTTTCTTACGTTTACCCTTGCTCGACCTGCTCGGGAAAAATATTGTCTTTACGTGTCTCCGTAGCGATAGAGTAAATGCAATAGTAGTTTCCCTGGGAATTTCCAATTAAATTATCGTAGATTTACCTGGATATGTCTTGTCTATTGGATCTGGATGAGTGTTTGCCGGAGGAATCGTACCCTCGCTCGGCCCTACGCGAACTGGAATGCGGCGAATTGTCGCTCCGGGATCGGTGCTCCTTGCGCCGAGATGCTCTCAAATCCGAATCATTGTTCTTCCTTTTCCTTCTGCTTTCATATAAATCCCTATCTAGATTCTGCCTGCGCTCCCTAGGTGGACTAAGGTCCGAATCACTGTCTCTATTACCTGAGCCGTGATAGTTTCGCCCGGATGTAGCGCGAGCCGCAGTCCGGTGTTTCGTGCTTCTTCTAGGTGGACTCAAATCCGAGTCGTTGTCCCTAGGTGGTTGCCTAGGCGGACTCAAGTCGCTGTCATTATCTCTAGATTGTCTAGGTGGGCTCAAGTCCCAGTCGTAATTTTTAGGTCGTCTAGGTGGACTCGAGTTCGAGTCGTCGTCGTCTCTAGATTGTTCATGTGGACTTAAATCTAAGCGTTTATTTTTAGAATGTCTGGATCTAATTGGACTCAGATCGGCATCGTTGTTCTCGTCTGGTTCAGTATTCATCTTATTGGTCCGATTTTCCATGTCGATAGTGCGACTACTGATAGTCAGATCTCCTTCTTCGTTCTCGGTTATGATTTTCCATCTTTTTTTGTCCGAAAAATCCACCGGTCCACGTTCATCGACTATGCCAGCGATTTGAGGAGCATCCTCGCCCTGTAGAAGGATATCAAATTCACCTTCTTCGAGGGGCCTCATGTTATTCAAGTCGATAATATCATCGTCTATAATTTTTACTCTGGAAAATACATTCGACTATTTTACAATCAAATCGAGGGAATTCTCTACAAGATGTTTTATATGAACCGGAAAGCTTTCAACTGTACGGCGAAAACACGATGTCTTAATTTCAACATTAAAATTCGAAGGAGCTCTTCGCCCAAATACGATGTTTAAATTCAAATTTATATTTAAACGTGCGCAAATTAATCCGAACAACGACAAAATCGCGTAAAATAATTGTTTTATAAAATTACATTTCGATATCTTGAAATTGTTCTCCATCGAGAATTTTTATTGATATATGTTCTTCTGATTAAACAAATAATCTAAACATTTGTATAAATTAACGTTTTTATAAACAAATTCTCGAAAAGAGTCGAATGTGAACGTGACCACATATCGACTGTTTATTGTTTTGACACCGAGAATAACAGTCGATGCCGTCCCTGTGTTGCGTTCCGAAACGTGGACGACATAACCTATCCTAACTTGATAACACAAAACAATAATCGTCGATGTGAATCACAAAATGCTCATACGTCGATGCTTACGTTTTCGTGCCCACTTTATGTTTCCTTTTTTTCTTCTTTTTTTTATTGTCGCTGCCGCCGAGAGACATATATTTCTTCAGGTACTCCTTTTGATTAATCGTTTTGTTTTCCATCATTCAAGAATTCCAAACTAAAAATAATACGGACACGTAATATCATGTATCGTTACATCCACGTCATTGGTACCACAATAAATTCGACTATATCGATGACAGAATAAATAAGAACAAAGTTTACGGCCGACACACCCGCGTAACGCCGCTAGCGAGAGGAAGCGATAAGTTGCGGCTGCTCCCGCCACGTGGCGTTGAACAACGTCAGCATAGATCTGCTTCCTATATTCCTCGTTACTATCGGCGGTTCATTCGCGTTGTTGTGCTTTTATATTCCTCAAAAATCCTTTCACAATTCGTAACATAATTTCCACCATAAGCGCGTAAATATAGATGATGTAGGTGTATGAAATTTGCATTTGTGGGTATTAGATATTTAGTAGACCTCGTACGAAGGTAAATCTCGAGAAATTGGATAATCACCGGGTGAACAACCAATAATAGCATGACATCGATGTTATAATTTCCCATTTTACAATATAACATATACAATATAACTATACATATAACACGCGTTATATGTAATAGTTATATTGTATATGTTATATTGCATTTATATGTTATATTGTATATTTATATATATATTGTATTTACATTGTTGAGTGGGAAATCATAACATTATTATTATGTTATTATGTTAGTTTGCGTTCACTAGATACTTCTTCGATTTCGGTGTGAACGCGCCTTCGGCTCGAGTATTCGAACCCAGAAACTCCGTTCCTTAATTTTGACCGGTGAACGCTACCTTGGCCGCTAACGCGAGAACAATGTAGCTCATAAGCGATTCAAACATGGAATGCCAAAAACAGCAACGTCGTCTAGACCGCTGCTATTGGCCAAGTGTCGGATAGGTAGGTGAGACCAGGTGAGACCGGACGATTGGAGGTGGAAGAGACGCGACGACCGGATGGGTAGGGAGCGAAAGTGAACGCGTCTCCAAGAATGGGCAGGAGAGAACTCCTGCGAAGCGAAGGTGACGGAAAACTCGACGGTGGGCGACGGTAGGCTGTAGTATCGTGGATGTCGATCCGACCCTTCGTCCGACGGTCACGAGAAGTGCGAGAAACGCGCATTCGTCGGCGAACCGCGCGAAAATGCGGTGAGATCGGCTGGTGTGTATCGTCAGCATCGTCGCTGGTACCGCGTTCGTCAGCGCAGGAGGCGAGACCGTACGGCATCTCGAAAGTAGCAAAGGAAAGAGAGAGAGAGAGGGAGAGACAGACGCGTGCCATGTTACGGACGTGCTAATGCAACGCGAGCCAGTGATTCTCGGCGTCACGAGGTAGCGGATGGAAGAAGAAAAAGGTTGTTACCGCGGCTCGATGTGTATTCAGTGAGCGTGAAGCCGCGTACGGTGACGTAAACGCGCGCACAGGCCGTCGTTATCCGCTTTACAGCGAAAACCCGTCCTCGTCAACGACGGCAGGATGACGAGGAAGCTCAGCAAGTTCCTGATACTCTTCGACAATACGAATCTGCTGTATTTTCCCGGGCACTTCTTATCCGGTCGGGTTCTCATAGAGCTGGACGATGAGGCTTAGTAAGTAACGGATGTTTCCCAACGAGTCGGTAAAACATGAGAGTTCGTGGTTGAGAGAGGACATTATTATTATTATTGTCATATAGAAGAGAAAGAAAAGAAGAGTTGTTGTTTCACGAAATAGTAAAAATAAAAGCGAGTGAACATCTCTCGTTGGAATGCGTAGCGCGACGTTGGATCGCGATACGCTGAATGCACAATGCAAATTAATAATGTAGGGTAACGTTACCGTAGCGTCTCGGGACTGCATTTTCACGTCGTCGGCGAAGGAGTGGTGCGGATACGCAGTCAACGCGCCGAGAGAGTATACGACAAGGAGAATTACATTGACTTTCGTATGCGGCTGCTGGGCGAACCAGGTGAACAAACTAGCAATACCACAAATAATTACGAAAACAAAGCTTACATTACGAATGAATCGGAAATTGTCGCATAAGTGTTGCTTCTCGGGATCATCGCGTTATTTGACACTTAGATACTACTATATCCATTTCTAATTCAGCGACACATGAGAAGTTAATTATTATATGCTACAAATATGTAAAAAACAATTCAAGGAAGATCCGGCCGATCGAGGAGTTCGTTTCGCGTTTCTCTCCTGTTTACTTTTTGCATTTCTGCGAGAGGGAGAGACGGGACGAATCTTGATGATCGGCTTAATGATCTAGCTGCCTCTAATGATGATTCAATGACGACGCGAATTCGCAACAGGCGAAGGACCGTCGCTACTGTCCCCTGGAATACACAGCTTCCCCTTCAAATTGGGTTTACCGTTGGGTCTGCCCTCCACCTTCCTCGGGAAACACGGATGGGTGCAATATTTCTGTAAAGCCGCTCTCCGGGAGCCGGGCGGACTCACGCATAAAAATCAGCAGGTCTTTATCGTCATGAACCCGATCGACCTGAATCTGGAACCTCCGATATTAGCGGTGAGCTCGTTAACGTTATTATTAACCGATGATGAATCGGTGCCTATAAATGTCATTCGTCGAATCGTCACGCCAACTCGCCGCCATGGTCATCGTCAATACCGAAACGTCCTTGCGCGGAAAAAAAGATTCCCTTGGATAAAATCAAATTTCCTTTATTGAAACTAATTTGTCTCTCGGATCGGAGCAGACGAACGAATGTTTGATTCAACAAACAGGATTGTTTAGTTTCTCAAGCAATGAATATCTCCTTATATCGGATAACATATTTCTCTTTTATCCAAACATTACAATGGTTGTCACAAGTAATAAATGAAAGAAGTAACGCTATGTTAGAAAAATTTATTTTTATTAAAGAACTTCTTTATTTCAGTGGAAAACTATTTAATACATAATGCAGAAAGTTTTTTCATTGAAAACTAAATATTATATTTCATCTAATTAATACTGTTTTTTTTTTCTTTCTACTAAACAACACGGTTTACTCTAGTGAAGCAACACATTTTTATTCTAACAAAATGATACTTGATGATAGTAAATTAAGTTGTTCGTATTAAACAAACCCAAGACAAACACAATTGTATAGTAAACGCAAGGAAACCTGTTTTTCTGTACGCACGTAGCGACTCCGTCCGGTCTTTCTCTGCCGATCATGATTTCCGTCCTTGACGATCAAAAGTGACTATTGCCAAAGAAATCGGACGGGCAAATTTCGCAGGGCAAATCCGGAGTGAAGAAAGTGTTTCGCTTGCTCGGGCACACGCGATTAAAAAGAACGACGCACCTGACGAGCATTACCATAACCGAGTCCTAAATAGTGGTCGTCGACCTGCATGGAAAGCGTGCAAATATCTCGACGCGAGGCTAAGAATTCAAAATAAACGTATCGTGATGCATTCAATAGAGAAATTCGAACGATGAAAATAAAAGGGAGAGGCAGAAAGAGAGAGAGAGAGAGAGAAAGAGAGAATAAGAGAAACAAAGAGATACGAAGCATTCCGCTCGCGCACGATTCACGTTGTACCAGTTGCAACGTAACAATTACCGACACTCGTCATTGAATCGTGACGAAAGCGCCATCCGTATCCAACGCATTCGCCTTCTCAGAAAATTGCATAGAACAATTTTCACGTAGGCGTGAAGCATTCAATGATGATCGCTGTTGTTTCGCCAATATCAAACTAACACGTTTGTGCGAATACGAGCGCTCGATGATTCAATGACATTTCGCTTCTGATCGTATCGCTTAATTTACATTTAGCCCAAATAATTCAGAATGACCCTCGTCTAAATAACACTTTCGCAACAAACAGCAACCTGCGAGACAAGAGATTGAACAACGCGTAGGTGTCTCTTGTGTATCGGGTGGCCCGGTATTTTGCAGAGTCAGTTTGGATCGAGGTGGATACGTACCCGGGGAGACGATCGGTATTTCCGCGACCGTCAGCAATCGCAGCAAGGTAGGCTATATCAAACACGTCCAGTGGACGCGTCGTTCCGTAAAACTTTTAGCAGTCTCGATGACATCAAGGGGGGACATCGGGCCTTGAAGACCGAAAAATCGGCTTAGGAGAGATTTTCGAAAGAAACGGAGTTGAAACTCTCATTGGAATTGCGTGTATTCACCAAGCGCCTTTCTAATGGTTCATTTTTTTTTTTTTAGATAACTCTTCATAAATTAATTTCACTGCAATTTTCTACTTCCGAGTGAAGTGAGCGTAACTTTCCCAATTATTTTCCGCTATTTTTCGCCTTCCTTACGATAAACACAGACAATTGTGTTCATATCTTTTGTAATCTTTCAAGCGAATTTCTATTATCAAAATTTTATTTACAATAAAAAGAAAGAAAGAACATAAGAGCAAAAGTGATCATAACTGCGAAGGAAAATGCTTATCGGAAATGCTTCCGCGATTGTTCAGGGTGAGGTACAGCGCGCACGTGAATCTATGGTCTATCTATCTCTCTTCGTATTTCAGCTGGTATAAAATTCAAAATACGCAAGAAAGATAGTTCTATACGATTATGTAGAGAACGGAAAATCGATTTTTTTCATTTTAAAGGTGATGTCCGTCCCCCCTTAAGTTAGAAGTTACGAAATAAGACTCTCGTTAACACTCGAATCGACACAGGTGACGATGAAGTCTACTAAAGCGTCCCTCACCGAGACGATACAATACTTGTGTCGAGGTAAAGTGCTCGCTAGCGAGACTCGCGAGCTGGCTAGCGTGTCCAGGGGGAAAATTCGGCCAGGCGAAGGTGAGGAATGGTTAAACGAGCAAATGTATGTTCCTCCTCTGCCGCCGACTAATCTGCGAGGATGTCACTTAATCAACGTTCTTTACCACGTTTATGTGAGTGTTGGGACAAAATGTAGCATATATATATATATATAATTCTCGTTCTTTCCGAGATGTGTACACATGTTATATTCGAAGATAATCTCTTCGTGAGATACGAAGCGCGCAACCCGCGAGTATCCTCGGGAATCGTTTAGAGAAGTAATCGCAATTTCTCGTAGTTCGTCATAAGCCCGAAGAGTTTGGACAAAGAGATCAAGCTGCAAATACCGATCGTACTAGCCACGTATCCCTTGCGACCGGAGGGTGCACCGGCCGGCACAGCGCCGTCCAAACGAGGTGCCCATTATCCGTCGACGCTGCCCATCTTCCGACCCTGGCTCGACGATAAAGCTTTCGAGATACAGGAGTGAAAATCTAAACCCGATATCAAAAACGGTGCAATTATATTTGTAGGTGCTAAGGAAGCTCGTTGTACAATGAATGTTTATGATGAATTACGCGACGCTGCGGCGTTGATTTCGTCAATTATCTTAGCAGATAAATATGTATAAATTGTATAATAATATTGTATAAAATAACCGAAACGCTCACGACACGAAATACGAGTAAAATAAATAAGGTGGCGATATGAGGAATACATATAATGTATTGATGAAAAATAATAGAGAAAAAGAAAAGAACAATCATCTTTTATATTATGAAAATAGGAAACATTTAATTCTGCATTTCCACTTTCAGCTTCTCCAAAACTTGATCCGTTGTAATCCCTGTTACTGTAACAACTTTTTGCCGACTCCTGGACCCCTAAAAGAGAAGAGAAGTGAATAAGTAGCTTCAAAATAAACGGATTAATGGTCTAAAATTAATCCAATTAAGAGCTAACCCGGTCTAAAGATACGTCAGATTTTCTCAGTCCAAAAATCGAAGCCAAATATTTGGTCAGTTCGGCATTCGCTTCTCCTTCCGTTGGTGGTGCAGATATCGCAACGCCTACCGCTTCATCGGAAATATCTACAGATATTTTCCGCGTTTTTTTGTTATTATAATTTTTCCCGCTCGAAGGAGAGCAATTTTTTTTCTTTATTCACATAATGAAAGGCTAATCTTTCTTCTTTAATGATGAAAAAATATATTTGTTTAAGAAATATTTCTTATTACCGGTTATATTGTTACATTTCGCGCCGGGTTTAGCTTGAATTTTAATTGCTACATTTCCATCTTTATCGTAAACCACAGGTCCTGTAGATCGATTCTGCGAATAATATATAAGTGAATATATAGTTATAGTTTCGACACCTTATATTAAAATATTAGCCTGTAATCATACTTAATACAAGTATTTCAAAAAGAAATTAGCAATTCAATTATTCCAACAGTGAATAAAACTGTTGCTTGAAAACGAGGTCATCTGATTTGTTATTTGAAAATAGCAAAGTTACCTGACCCGTTGTCGAGTCGAACTACGACCTTGATTTTAAGTGAAAAACAGTGGCGGCGCGTGGCGGATTGAGAAGAAAAAGGTACACTAGCCCTATTCTGTAACTTCTTAACGACAATGTCACTAGCCTAGGTCGTCGTTGCGCAGCTTTTCTGCCATATGTCAACTTGCGCAACAACGTAACGATATCGACACACAGTGTACAGAATCGCACTGCAGAAACTCCTCTTCCTATATGAATTTCGGAATACATCTGATGTCCAATGAAAAAACCAATCCACTGAGAATAAGTATCCTATTGGATATTGGATGCGTTGCAAAACTCATTGAAAACAGCGTCCTTTTACTTCCAGCTGTATACACAGCAGCCGTATATTCATTAAGAAAAATGTTAATAATGAAATCTAACGGTGTGTAAATTGAAAAAGAGAAAACTACTGACATAGGATTTAACCGGATTTATAAAAATTGAGAAGATAATCGATCCTATACTACTAAATGAGAATCGAACTTCGATTCATCGTTTCAACACTAGCTTTCCCGAATGGCTAGTCAATTGTGTCGGCACAGGATGCCAGAGATGGTGAAGCGTACGGTGTAAAATGTTGTGTTATCTTCGGGACAGGTGATTGAACGTAGGCAGGAAATCGGTAAGTTCGATGTTGAAACAGTCACTCACGTCAGTGGTAGTGGCGGCCTTCCGTGCTTTCTCATTTTTCGCGGACCGTTGTTTTGACATTTCACGCGTGGTTATTAAATGTCTGTAGCCGTTTGTAAACCTCGTGAGCATATGCTTCCCGATGCACCGTGTCGTCTCGTTTATCTTCTATGGAACGGGATACACCACGCACGCAATTTTACATATTTTTCTAACTTTAGAACGCGGATATTTCTCGGTTCCTTAACCTAACAAGTCAGCTTTGGTTAACCAATTATCACGCGCATGCGTAACTATAGCCAACGCAAGCACAGTAATGCAGGCTCGCCCGCTATTTTTAAATGCACGCAAGCACGTTGTAATTCGTACAATATGTTAGAATTTTACGAGTAACTTTACGATATACGCAACGTTGCTCTCAAGGTCGACATGCCGAAAAAGTTTGTGGGTGAGAATAGCAAGGCGGTTGCCGCCCGAGCTAGAAAAGCGGCGGCCAAAGAAGCCGAAAATATAAAAAAAGCACTGGAAGCTGAGGACCGAGCCTGGCAAGACGATGACAAACAATTATTAAAGAAAAAACAAAAACAAGTGTGTGGAAATTATCTTAGATGGACATTGGTTTTAGTGGAAATTCAGTATTGTTCACAGTGAAATAGTGTTCACAATGAAAAGTACAATACACATATTTATTTTCTTACATATGTAGGAAGAAGTTGAGAAAAAGCGCCAACAGCAGTTGGAAAAGAAAGCGGAGGCAAAAGCTATGCTTGAGAAAGAAATGGCAAATATAAAGGTCGGTGGTAAACAGCCGGCATCCAAAGTTACAAGAGCTGAGATTGTCGCTATTACTGAGAAGCGAAACCAGGTAGCTATGAAGAAGAAAGAAGATGAAAAACCGATCGAGGAGAACATAAACAGAATAACTCTGGAAGGTGAAATGGCTCACGGTATAGACGAGGCTTTATCTGTTTTGAGGTAATTCCTGAAATGTCCAATCACAGTCCAAGGAATGTCAAGCTTGATGCGATATGCGTGACATAGATTTAATTTCTCTCATTTTATCTTTTCCCTCTCGATCTTTTTCAGTTCGAAAGATCCCGAAATCGACCGACACCCGGAGAAACGGATGAAAGCCGCGTACGCGAACTTTGAGGAGAAAATGATGCCTGTGATTAAAGAGCAAAATCCTACTCTGAGATTGAGTCAGCTGAAGCAGATCCTTAGGAAAGAATGGATGAAGTCGGCTGAAAATCCACTTAATCAGAAGTTACAGAACCGTTGATGACTGTTTCAAACGTACTCAAATAACTCTGGTAACGAGAATGGACTGGAATAATTGTCGCAACGACACGATGAACTGCATACAGTTTTATTGATAAAACGAATAACTTAGACTAAAAATATACCATATGCGCGTATGAAATAGATGTGTATGATATATATAAACGATCTTTGGTCAAATCTACATGCTGTTCCATAGCCTCTGTTCGATATTTGCTGGATCACTTTGAATAACTCTTCCGTCCGACATGAAAAGTATAATCTAATACATCTCGCGAAAAAGCACTATTCTATTTAAATGGGAAGACACAGTATCACATACAGTTTAATTACAATTTGATAACAGTTCAGGTACGTCGAAGATTCAAAATTATACATACATAGTGGTAATTATCGACTTTAAAGACGACAGAGAAATTTAGAAATGCGTGTACGTTATTTCAAGTGATCGAGACAAATAAGACACTTTGTATTTATTTAATCTGTACATCTTGGCACATTCACGAGGCCGCGCTACGCGCGTTATGCACACACTTTACTTACAAATTTACCTTATCGTTCTATCAAACCGAGTCTCTTTGTAAGATCGTAAAATGAATAGCTTATTTCCTTTCAACTTGCATATACGAGTTTCATGTTACATCTAATTAGTTAATAACCGGTCCATAAAACAATTCAGTCGATACAATTTCGATATGATATATAACTTTTTAGATTATTATTCCTACGTTCGAATAACTTAAACTAAAAATACGCGATATCACTGCTGCCACTTTTTGTTTTTCCACAAGTCTATAAAACAATGTATCATATGATTTAACTGCTGAGGACATTCAGTCATAGGGCTATGACCAGCCATTGGAATAGCTTCGAGGAAAGCTTTCATCATTGTCTGAAAAATGTAAAACAATCGGCGATGATAATTAAATGCTACGATTTTTAGTATAAAATAAGCAAATAATCGATAAATAGGATACCTACATCGTAAAATGTTTGATGTTAAAAACGGCCCACTGAAATTTCGTGTTATTTTAATATCATATTTGTATATTTTTTAACGCATTCCCCATGTTAAAATAACACAAACATTTCAGCGGGCCGTTTTTAACAGAATTTTTACATTTACATAATTACAAATTTTACATAATTAATTCCCGTTTGCCTTCCTCTGCTTTTCTCGCGTATGACCGGATCAGATAGATCGTGACACGAACTCACCCTTTCCATTTGACACTCCTGTACCAAGGACACTTTATTGTCTCTTAATCCATGCACCAGAAGGGTCGGTGTGCATATCCTCCTATGAAAAACGTAGTCGCCCTCCGGCCATATCATACCGTCCAATACATGTTTCATATGCGAAGGCCACTGTTCCGTCGACTCTTGACCGCAATAAGGATGTTGCCGACCCCGCGCGGAATACAAAATATCTCGATGAAGACCGCACATGAGAAGAGGCGCGAGGATCGCCCTGAGACAACAGTGTCCGGCGCTTTCTGTGCTTGGCGGGGCCAATGGGGTCGGGCCGCCACCCGAAATCAACACGAGCTGATGGATATTGCTGTCGTATTTGTAAGCCAAGGCCGTGGCGAAGCTGCATCTGCGACGATTTTCAAGATAACATTTATAGGACGTACCGTGGGTGTGGATTTCGCGAATAAAGCGATCGGAAATATAACGCGAAACATTTTCGTTTTCTCGCTTCTGATGTCATTAAACAGCCACAGCGACTACTCCGGAGCCTTAAATTTCAATTATACTATAGCTAATTCCTTATTTCCGTGTAAGTAAATGGTGACGGCATCGAGACCGTCGACTCACCCGTAATTGTGCGCTACCAAGACGCACTTTTCGCCGGGCTTGAAAGCGTAATGATGCAGAACAGCGTCCAGGTCCTTGAGCAATTTGCCGAAATGGTAATCCCGCGACCGACCGGGCGCCGAGCTCATACCGTGTCCCAGCATGTCGGGAGCGATGCAAGGATAACCGAGCGACGAGAAGTACTGTAGCTGATGCTCGAAGATCTCGGCCGACGAACCGAAGCCGTGCAGGAAGACGATAGTCGGCTTCCTGTTCCTTCGAAACGTCACCGAATCCTGCAGATCCCGTCGCGCGCTGCCCTGCGAAGAGATCCCGCCCAGCTCCGACCACTCTTTCCTATAATCCTTCAGCTCGATCGGCGGAGTTTCTTTCAGCTTGGCGCCGACCTTAGCGCCAAGCTTCGACAGAGCCCCACCGTTCAGGGAAGGCTTCTGGTCGTTGTCTTGGAATTCTAGACGAAGCTTCTTGAAGTCGGTCTGCGTGTTAACGGTGTCCTCCAGCTGCTCCACTGTCTCGGAACCCAAATCAACCGGGGTAGTCTCGAGTTTCGCCCAAGGCCTCTCGCTCTTTTGAGAATCGGTCCGATGTTCCTCAACATCTGAAACCACTTTCGGCAAATTCCTCTCGGAACTGTCCTCGCCCGGATTATTCGTCGCCGGGCCTCTGCCCAGTTTCTCATCGATAATTCGTAAAAGCGACTGCTCGAAGCTGGCCTCTTGGTCCGGCTGAAACTCGATGGTCTCCACGCTGTTTATGCCGGAGTCCACGCAATCCATTTGCTCCGGCGCAATGCTCTCCGTGTGCGCTGACATTTCGAGGTACAGGTCAGCTGTTCCGAGGCAATACGAAGATGATGAGGAATCTTTTGAGCCGGGTCGGTGAAAATGTCACCAATTGAATCGGTGAAACAGTATTCTACTTCTATAATCAGCGAAGGTTCGCTAATTTTTCGTGAAAACACCTTCACTTAGCTCTTTTGACTATTTCCGCGGTTAGATTTCTCCGATGCAAAGTTGCTGTTGTTAACAGATTTTTCTAGCGGAATTTTACTGATTTGCAATGCTATACTTATAATTACGACCATCAGTGATTATTGACTGTTTCTCAATGACAATACCGATTGCATTTCAGAGAGAGAGAGAGAGAAAGAAGGAATATATAATATAACAAGGAATATATAATAAACAATATATAAAACATCCGCCATACTGGGATATAGCAAAAGTCTCGTTTTGCATAAATTAATCTCTTACCGTGTTTGGCGCGATCGAAATCTAAGGAAGCCAGTCGATCCGTCGAACCGACGAAAGCGGGGTTCACGTAGCCCTCGTTCATCGGAACTTTCGCGAGTTGCTTCTTGTCTCGATTTTTCACACCCCATCGTTCCTGCGTCTTACCGGCTACGGGGGAATCGATATCGATCAAGGATCCGTCCCTCTCGATCGATATTCCCTCTTTGGATTCGTCAGGTCGCGACTTTTTAAAATTGTTCGCTCGTTGCCAAGGCGCTTCGGAATGTGGTATGCCGTTCCTTTCCACCTCGGTCACGTGCTTCACGGTGTCGTCGAGTATCTCCTCCAAAAGCGTATTAATATACCTGATATTGAATTTCACCGCGTTATCGTCAATTCTTAGCATACCGATGTCTCTCGGTCGTCATAATAATTTCTTATATTGGGAGATAAGCGATAATGAGATAAGATACGGGAAATTCGTAAATATACGTATTAATTAAAAACAAATCAATATATCATTTCACGTAATATACATAGGACGTTACACCCCGGAAATATTTAACAGTACCGCTGCACCTTTTGTATCCGGGAATCGAGCATATACTCGATATGAATGTTCGTTAAACTGTAAAATATAAAACTGGGGACGTGTTACGATGAGATCCTACGGAATGATATAAAATGAAGGAAACCCGAATGAAAATACAAGGAGAAAAGAAATGAATGATGATGAATTTACACCGAGTTCTACTCATGGTTACGAGCGCACAGCCACTGTTTGCGTACCGTTCGAGATCCTTGACAATCTGGTGCTTCGCGCTCTGCTCGAACGGCCGGTGGTCCTCGAGCACCGGGTTGTCGCGCAGCTTTTGCAAATTCACCGAGACCCTCTGCTCCAATTCCTCGATGTCGCGCGCGTTCTTCTCCGCCTCGCAGAGGCTGGTCCGTATACGATTGAGCTCGGCGGATATGATGCGCTCCTCGTTGCTGCTCAGGGCTGCGCCGGTGGACTGGCGGAAGGAGCACCTGCAGTTGCCGGAGGGATGCGGCCTCCTGGACCAGCGCGCGAAGAAATTGTCGTTGATCGACTCCGGTCGGTCGATCGTGCTCTCGTAGAACCAGCCGCTCTTCAAGGCCGGCCGGAGTACGCGCAAGGTGCGTCGCGGTGCGACGATGAAGAAGTCGCAGTCGGGCAGCTCCATTCTACCGGGGCTGACTCGGTTGCGATTGCTCCAGCACTCGAACACTTTGCCGTACCAAGGAGACGCCTCCGTCGAGGGGGTCTCCTCCACCTGCGTCGCCATTGTCTCTCGATGATCCTCCGGATCATAAAGGCATCTCACGCGAGCCGAGCTTGGAGCTCCGAGGCGCGCCTCACACTGCTGCCGTGCATATTTCTCGTGCGTTTCTTATGCGTAATGTCGTGCGTCAATGTATCACACGGTGCACTCCTATTTTTCTCCGCGGCCGCGCTGGGAATTTGCATGCTCCTCCGTCTTCCCGGACGTCGCTCCCCGCGTCCCGCCGACGAATCGCTTCTGGAAAGTGTCGGTATAAGTGGCCAACATTCCGCTCTCCTCTCGCAAATGACGAATTAATAGCTCGTTAACGTTTGCCTCGATATATCGGATATTGTCGCCGAGAGGCTGTCCCACTCGGTTTCCTTCCACCGACTCGACCCGTGTTACAGATCGAGCTGTAGGTCGACGAGTTTTTATTGCGCAAAGAGCGACTTTCTCACCGCGCAACGCTTTTCCCGCGTTCCACACGTCCGAGCAACGAGATTTCCCCGCGGAAAAAAACGAAAGCGTCGCCTCCTCGCTCGAATAATTCCCGACGATGGGGAGCGCGCGCCGGTTTCCTCATTGCGATATTCGATCGAGCGGCTTTCAGCTACTTTTTAAATAACGAGCGCGTTCGCCCGCGCGTCGATACCCCGACGGAGGGATCCCGAGCAGGTTGATCCCCGTGCATTCTTCTGCAACGACGTAACTGCAGGCTTATCTGGCAGAACGATCTCTACATTTAACCGCGGCGGAAGAGCGCGTAAAGCTCCTTCGTAATTAAGAGAGCTCGCTCTTTCGAGCGACCGAAAGTACACTACGTCGTTCCTCGACTCCACGAAACGTGAGTGTCGTCGTCTCGTTAATTCAGCCAGACCAGCGAGTCGCACACGTGGGAGGGGAATCGAGTGAACACCCGCCTCTTTTTTTCACTCTCGACGCATCTTTCGGGGAACATTTCAATACAATCGCGGCGTGCCTTAAAATTAACTTGCCGACCGACCGAGACGCGCGCGGATGGACAAACTCACCTGATCACCTCGTTCGAGCGTGCGACGCACGCAGGACGTACATAACGCGCACTGTACACGCGAACGAACAAACAAGTCTCTCCGACGGTATAATCCGAGGTATCCGTTGAAGCAGACGGCACGAAGCGGTTAGCCTCGCGAAGTTTCGAACGCGTCGCGACCACGTAACACATCCGGAGCACAATCGGTCGCGTGTATCGGCCACTATGTTTTTGCCGAGGAGAGCGTCAACGACGTGCGCGCTGCTGCCGATGATGATGACGATGATGGTGATGATGATGGTGACGATCTGTCAGGATCCGAGCGTCCATCGGAAGTCGCAGCCGCGCGGACTCGCGTCGAGTGACGATACCGCGGCGGAGCATCGCGCATCTTTTCTTTCTTTCTTCCTTCCTTTCTCGACGTGGGCGTCTAGCCGGCAAATTAAGACGGGAAAATTGAGGACGATTGATACTTGAGACACGGAGCACGTCGGCTCGGAGCGGCCATTGCACGTCCCGTGCACACGGATGGCAGCGTGCGAGAAAGAGAGAGGGAGGGAAAAAGAGAAAGAGCCAGACCGGTGGTCCCCTTCCACATCGGGAAGTTGTTCGCATACAGGGCGTTTAGAAAGTCCGCATCGACCTCGTATCCGACTCGGTTTGCCCGGGATGTACCGCTATGAAGCGAGTCCTGCGGAGAATACGTTCGTCACCGGCGACACCGTATCTCGGGGGGGGTGGAGGGAGGGGGGATTTCTCGAGTTTGATGACCGTAAAGGAACGTCGTGTTTGCATCTAATAATAAAAAGTCAAGTAGGATCGAGTCGGCCTATCTCGGCATCACCCCCTCGACTTTTCGGCGTTAGCCCCCTCCCCTCCTCCCCCGGTAACTTCGGCGATTCTGTAGCGGTATTCCCCATTGAACGGTGATTTCCATGAGCGGAAGAGAACCGCCTTATAAATCGTGATCACGCGCGTGAAAAAAATGGCTAATCGTCTGACCTATTAAAGAACTGCTCGCGACGACCGCCTAGAATACTTGAGCAATCAAGAGATCGTGCTAATCATGAGAAGTCCGCGGTCGAAAAAAAAAAAGATGAAAAACGGAGCTACTTGAATCGATAAGAACGTTTGCGGACGTTCGTCTTCGAAGAAAATAGGACGAAAAAACTGGCATTCTGGAGCTAGATTCAATCTAGCGCGCAGTCCTATCGACAAGTATAACGCAAATAAAGGAAGTGATAGTATTTCGTCACTTATAATCCAGATTATGATAAGAGCGGGTGTCACTGACCCATTCGAACGGGCGATCTCATCGTTCGATCCGCGACATGGAGATCGCATATTACCTTTTCGTTGGACGTAAAGTTCTCGCAGGTGTCGCGAGCGCGGAGACAAAGTTTCCGCTGGCACGGCAAATTCTTCGTTACTGTGACAGCAAGACAAATTTGTCACGCGGAGCAAAAGTCTTGCGGTTGTAGCAAAACGTCGTTGCTACGGCAATAAAATTAGTCGGCTATAAAAACATCAATTTAATGCTCTTAACAAATTCTCGCCGCTACGGTAACGAACAATTTGCCGCGCCGGCAGCAAATCATTCCCCGTGAGCGCTTACTCAAGTGATTCGATTTCGTGCAATCGTGATTAAACCACGATTCCACGATGCGGTCGTAGCCGACGTACCAACTTCCTCTCGCGATAGTGGCCTCACATAGGGAAGAATTTCGCGCGGTAGTGCACGTACGCGCAGGGCGCGATAGTGACACGTGTCGAATAAATGTATTTGCGGAACAAACGCGCATGAGATAACACTCGAAGTGCACGGTACATCGTGAGAAGGAAGAGAACCGAGTGCGGCGAACGTGTGGCATTCGCGGTGGCGCAACAAGCGAAATAAATTGCGAATCGAGAGACACAAGTGGGAAAACTGCAAATACGCCGGTACGGCTTTCCATGAATATCGACGGAAATAGAAACGCATTCGTTACGGTATAATCGCGATCGCTCGGACGCATCGTTTTTTTTTTCTCTCTAGGAGCGAGCGGAGGGGGGAGGGGGGCGAGGCTGATATCGAGGACACAGTTACGAATGCACACGTTGGCATCTTACACCCTCCGCCGTCGTTACGCCACACATTACGCCGCACAGGTGCACATGCACGGCCGAGCGCGGCTTTCGGCTTCGCGGGGCGCCGGTGCGCGCGATAAGCAGTGCAAATTTGACGTTGCACTCTCTCTCCGTGGGACAGATAGCAATTCACGCGTTAATATATTAGCCGAGCGCGACGTATCTTTACGGGAACGCCTCGGCGCAAACACTCTTCTGACTGAGACGTTTGACAACGCAAACGTCGGGGGTCGTTCACCCGGCCGGCAAGAGGCTTATAGGGTATAAAGAGTTCGGCTGCTCATCCCGCGCGGTTATTTCGTTGAAAATCGCGCGCCATGGAGCTGACGTACACGCTCGTGCAATTGCTCGTCCTTCTGAGCGCGGTGCGCGCGTCGATGGTGCACCCGAAAGACGCCGATGGGATCACCGAGATGATCAGCGAGGAGCAGCGGAAGGTGTACCAGGAGTGTCGGAATCCGGACTACAAGAAATACGTAACGTGTCTGATGACGAGGCCGAAACGACATCATTATGGTCATGGGGAGATACCGGACGATAGTGGTAGACTATTTTGCGATAGCAGTCGTCTGTAACTCGTCGGAATAGAAATCGTAACGTAACTTTATGACGCGTTGCGAGGAGCGCGCTTTATGGACGGGGGGGGGCACCGTTTGCGAAATCATTCGAACGCATTACGCAAGTGCTGTACTTGTTACACACACGGTCACTCGGCGATCGCGTTGAATTAAAACCGCGCGATCTTTTGCATACACACACATACGTATGTACGCACACACGCAGTTGCGCAACACGCTTTCATCATTAACGTTGCGCAACTGCGAATAGCGACGGCGGCGCGGCGTCGTTTGTCGCGATTAATTATTCTCGATTAATTCGTTACATGTAAAATAACGCATCGTTATAATCCACGCGAGGAGGAGGGAGTCGCGTGTAATTTCATTATCGCTATAAGCGATGTAATTTCGCAGATCCCGTACACTGCTTGGAAGCGTGCCTGAAGAAGTGCAGCATCGATCGGGACTGCGATAAAAAATGTTTGCACTGTACGAAAAGGTTTAGGCACCGCCACCAGTTCCTCACGGAATACGAAATCAATTGCGAATCCGGAAACTGCAGCGACAGTGACAACTTGAGAGCTACTAATATTACGACGAACATCGGTATCAATAATTTTATTAACACTTATCCGAACACAACCACTACTAGAGGCACACCAGGCACACCAGGCACACCAGGCACACCTGGCACACCAGGCACACCTGGCACTGGTAGCATTAGTACCGGCAGCTTTCCTAATGGTTCTACACCAATTATTATTACTGATGCTACTCCTAAAACCGAAGTCGTCGTCCCGTCGATTCCTCTCGTGCCCCAGATTTCGATGGTGCCGCAAATTACGTATGGAATAAACCTCATGAGTGGCTGTGTGTTCAGCACATGGCTTTGTATCCAACAAGATGTGAAGAAAGTGCAGGTAAACAATATTGCATCGAGCTCGAGATAATCACCCAGACCCCCGTTAAAAATTCTGCCGTAACGAACAAGGCGCGACATTTTTGCGTCTCGTTTCCGAAGAGTGTATAAAAAGCGCATAACTGCATATCTTTACTATTCATTTTGCATTAGGTGGGGGGAGGGGGTGATGCTAAATAAGCATGTACACAATAAACTCTATATATTAAAAAATAATGAAATTGTAGCCTACGAAACCTGACTGCTCTTCATGTGGCAATCCTCTTCTGCACCACAGATGCAACGTAACGTTTTGTTACACCAGTATTGCCAGTATTGATTGTAAAAGCTCGTCCTGCGCCGGCGGTGAGTTCGTTGTCATGCCATTAATTAATGTAAATTAACAAACGCCATTCTCTTACCTTGTATCGATAGTTTTCGTGCACTTCTGCTTGCTTGGCTTTGAAAGTTCGCGCGTTAAAATAGCATCATTTCATCTTCTAGGTTCCACGTAAGGTTTCTGTACGCATCGCGAGCAGGTGGAAGGAAGAACAGAAAATATATCCGATCGCTTACTGTAATACGTAGTTCGTATGTTAACGCTAAATAATGCAAAACAACATCGTTTCCGCGTTGAACAAACGTTTGCAATCAACCATAAAGCGTAGCTCTATCTATAAGCGTAAGGTTTATCTATCACAAGACAATCTATATATTTGTGCTTGCTGAGGTAATTATATAATGGCCAATTTTTCATCGAGCAGTTTGCGAAATAAAAGCAATATTACTACTTTTTTTTACAATAACCATCGGCCACGCGCACTTGGCTCTCGTCTGCGATTGGTTCTTTAATGCCGAAGAGAGCGAGTATTGTCAAGCGACCATGTGTGAGCGGCTGCCAATTTACCGGCGCAGCGAAACGAGGGAAATCTTTATCGCAACACCTCCCCTAAACAATCCGAGCACACTTATTCAAAATCATTCAGAAACAAATTAAATTCGAATCCCTACGGACGAGCGAGCGAGTGAGCGTTTACAAGTCTCGCCGACGTGTCCTGAAACCGGTACTGAAAACACGGAAGTACGCACGGGAAAAGGGAATTAGCTATCCATATCGTATAACTGGAATTTAATTACCAAACATAGTTTTTAGTTGCAGCTAAAAAATAAGTGTAGGAAGACAAAAATTTATCCGATTTGATTGAACTTCGGTTATATTATACGGACAGTAAATTTTCACTTGTGGGAGGTAGTTTCAAGCCGGCGAAATTAGTTTTTAACTCTGGGAGTCGATTCGCACGGGGTTGCAAGGTCGCGACATCGTGACGCTCGAGGGGAAGCAGCGGAAAATCGACGGAAAATCGACGGAAACATTTCTCGCTCTGTTCGCGCCCAATAAAGATCGAAATACCGAAGAAGGATC